ACTGTTATTATCCAATCCCCTCGTTTTTCTATAAGTCTTTCGCTCCTTCAGATTTTTCTTGTTTCCTCCCCCCCTCCACTCTTTTCTCCAAGTCTATTGGAGCGCCGTAACCTTAATTCAGTCTAGAAAAGCAATGGATTGTTCAATTAAAAGAAATAAACTGCCGTATCTTAAGCTGCGCCGTAATGGTACGTAAGTCTACAAAAGCAATGGGTTGTTAAATTAAAAAAGTGAATAAAATCGAAAAAAATTAAATTACTTTGAGTGGTAAACCTTGCTGCACACTTCGTCAAGCTGAGTGCATGTGCTTCGCTTTTTTGTGGGCGGAAAGTTGAACGAAATTACACTCGCACGTTAGCTCGAAGTACAAAAAGAAAGCCATACCTTCGCACAACACGACTCCCATCGTGGAAATCGACCCTTCCAGTAGCCTCTACGATCCATCGCCATCTTCCCTCTCCGAGGACCGTAGGATTTGCATTTCCTACGAACCTCAGAGAGACACTTTCTATAACTTGGTTACGAGCACGGTTCATCTTGATCTTTTACAAAGCCAAAGAGAACAGCAAAGCGGCAAAGCAGCAAAGCAGAAAAGGGCGGTTTTTATAGTTTTGGCGCGAAAAACCACTGAGCTATATAATAATTCCTGGAGGACCGGCTCGCCACCAAAAAGCGTACCAAAAAAGATGGCGGATTTTCAGCTTTGCTGACGCCACATTATTTAACCTCGCATTTTCACCTACAAAGTCATTCGCGGGGCCCACTTTACTTCGCAGCACGAAAGCTTGCCGTAGAAATACATGTCGTTATACAGGAAAAATAACTCTCTTATATCCGGTGTTTGTGTTAGGTCTATTTTCTCTCAGCAATCGTCCACGATGGATGACTCTAATTTTCGTTTTACTGGTTGTTCGACTTGTTCCTGCCTCCGCCATTTTTGTTTACCACGAGCCACGAGGTAAATGTAAGCCTGGTTAAGCCTGGTTAAGGTTTTCACTATAGCTAGTACTGGTTACTGCCTCGGCCATTTTTGTTCACCATAAATGTAAGCGCCTGGTTAAGCCCCGGGCCCTGAATTTATAAGCTTTTTTCAAGTTAAGCCCCGACTACACCCAAGACACACCTTTTTTTGCAGAGGGCTTAACTCGAAGTACAAAATTTATTAATTACCATGCAACCGCGATACAGTGCTTTAGGCGCACTCCTTCGCCCTCCGGCTGTTTTCAAAAAACTTTTTATATATATTTTTTAATTTTTCGCTGTTTTTGTAACCGTATCTTGATATTTTCTACTATTTTTTTTTCGACGTGAAGGAACAACTGCCTCTTTTTTTAATTTGTGGATGCTGCTAGTCGCTGAAAAGGGGGATTGACTCGCACTTGTAAGATTTACATCAGTGGCGTCGCCAGCATATCTACACTACTGCCGTTATTAGCGACACGACCATAGGCACTTCTGGTGAATCTGGAATCACAATTACGGGTATTTTCTTTTCTCCTACTTTTACATGTGAGCTGTCACTTGTTTGCTGGCCTTTTGTTTGTGAATCTCCGTTTTTTGTTTTTTTTATTCCTATAACTCTCCGGTTCATGAACCTTTTCATATGTTCCTCCGCATGTTCGTTATTGCCGTTATTAGAGTTTTTAGCGTGATTGTCGTTATTAAAACTAATGGAGGCGGTTGTTCAAAAGCCGGTTAGCTTAACCCTGGATAAAGCAAATCTAATAATAATGATAAAAATAATAATAAGTGGCTCTTCATCTGTAAAAAACAGACGGCAAACAGGTGGTTTACACTGACGGTAGAGAGTAGTGTCGTCAGATTAATGTGTGCCTTGTAGCACTTATTGGTAATGGTATAATGGTTTATTACATACTAAGTTAAAAAAAGTGAAGCTAAAAGTTTTTTAATACGATAAAAAGGTTAAAAATTTAAAAAATTTACATGATTTAAAATCGAAAATATATATGCAGTATCATTACGAAGATACTTAAAATTAGCAACTAATGGTTCCTCTTCTGCCCAAGTGTTTTTCATCGAATTCTCTAAACTAGAATTATATTTTTCGATGGGATAAAAAAGCGGCCTATACTTATATCGTTCGGTTGTACCTGAGAAATTGTAATATTTTTGCCATTTGAGCTTGTCTGCCGGCACTTTACCCGAGATACTTTTTTCTATATCCACATTATCGTCTCTGCGTTCCTCCAAGGACTTAAGATTTAGTTCTCTCACAGCTTGCTGGTAGTCTAGTTCAAAGCAGCATATTTTTAGCACTCTCTTTTGGATTCTTTCAATCTCTTTAACTTGTTCTTTTGTTAGGTTGCCAGTCCATACTTGGGCTCCGTATTCTAACGCAGATCTTACTACCGCTACATTCTTCAAGGCTTCTTTGGGTGCATTATAACTGTTTAAGACCCTGAAAAGATATAGTCTCTTGGTTCCTTTTTTTCAGGCCGGTCACGGTCGCATGGACAGAATCTCAAAAGCCGCTTCGCCCGCGCGGGAGAAGCGGACGTTAATGGAGAATCGCCTTAAGATCGTAGTCTGCTGTTGACTGTTATCATCATTTCCTTCGTTTTTCTCTAAGTCTTTCGCTCCTGCGGATTTTTCTTGTTTCCTACCCGCCTCATCTCTTTTCTCCTCTGTCTTTAAATCAAAAGCTTTGACAGTTCGATCCGCTGAAGCGCTGAGCGGCTTCCCATTGTGCATGTGGCTGTTGAAAGAGAAACAGGAAACGTTAAATCGTAAGCCTCGGCTCTCGCAAGTTATTATAATCAAACTGCTTCAAGATTTTAGTCATCTTTTATACCTATTATATACAAAAATATTTGAAAAAGCTTTTATAATGTAACTTGATTATCTCGCTCTGATCTTGCTTTCGTTTCCCAGGCAGTACCCATAGGATATTGTTTACCAGTATGGCACGTACTGCATCCGTGTGCGGTGTGTCCAATGAAATCCAGAGAATCTCTATATATAATCTTCAAGAGAATCTCTATGCAGAGTAACCAGTAAATTTAGAATCTAACACGTCGGGATTGTCCGTGGCGGTTGATCTATAAAACACATATCGTAGTCTGCTCTTGATTAAAAGATCGTAGTCTGCTCTTTGAAAGATCGTATTCTGCTGTTAACGAAAGATAATTTTCTGCTCTTGAAAGATCTTTGTCTGCTTCTAAAAGATCGTTGTCTGCTTCTAAAAGATCGTTGTCTGCTTCTGAAAGATCGTATAGCCTGCTCTTGAAAGATCGTTGTCTGCTTCTAAAAGATCATTGTCTGCTTCTGAAAGATCATATAGCCTGCTCTTGAAAGATCGTTGTCTGCTTCTAAAAGATCGTTGTCTGCTTCTAAAAGATCGTAGATCGATTTGTTAACAATTTATATTTAACTCATTCGTTCGGTCTTAGAAGATTGTTCACTGTTGCCTAGTTTGGCACAGACAAGCACTGTCTGCTGCAGATTGCGTACGGCTGGATGAAAACATACAACGTCTGTGTTTTAATTTCTTCCAAAAGATAAAGTTAAACAATGATAACAAACTCAATGCAGTTGTACCTAATTCTAGGCTCAGTGAACATGGTCGATCACTCTGCAACTATGATAGCTTTTTATTACCGACCGATTTAAACGCAGTTTCTTTCCAGCGTTAACTCAATATTCTAACAATATATGCAGTCAATTATAATATTTTTTAACGTATCTAGGACATATAGTATACAGGGTGAGTAAAAAAAACTGACACCTTTGAAATTCAAATTAGCTGCAACGTGTCTGTGAAAAAAAAGTGTTTGTAATCGGCCATGGGTATACAAAGCATATCAAATAAGTGAACCCATTAATTAACCTTGAACATAAAGTTTGTTCCCTTTGGGAGTTAAAATGCATTCTAAGCTCTGTAATAAAAAAGACTGTGGAATTAGTTCAATTGGTTTAAACACTTTCGCATTAATTAATCACGTCTTGTTGATTGTACAAAATGGGAATTGTCAAATTCCAGCCCATAAGTTCGCGGTTAGTTTGAATTTCAAAGGTTTCAGGTTTTTTTTACTCACCTTGTATACCCAAATAGTCAATATTTTAACAATATCTATACATAGGTGTAGTTATTTATTTATAATCGTTGAAACTTGATGTAATATTTAATGCATGTATGTTGGAGACAAATAGCGTATTTAAATTATCCTGTTATTATATATTTGTTTTTAATAGAGTAACAATACTTGTAAATATAAAGTATTTCACTTCGGTGCAATTTTATATATTTAATAAACCTTTAATGAAAGATCCTAGTCTGCTCCTTTAAAGATCCTAGTCTGCTCCTTAAAAGATCGTAGTCTCTCCTGAAGGATCCTAGTCTGTTTCCGATATATTAAAAGAGTGTACGCGTATTATAAATATGTACTTAACCAAAATGTTGGTTTTATTTTCACATTAGTATTTTTTAGTTTTTTCTTATTTTGTACTATACAAAATATTGGTTTATTACCAGGAACAAAGTTTATATATGAAACTTCACAAATCGTTGTTAATGCTACAAAGTTGAAAATATATTATCCATTGTTGCTGAGAATGAAACTTTGGTGTGTATTTTGCATGCATGTCCAAGCCAAGGCCATTATTTTTTTATTGAAATGAAGTCGAAAAGACTCTTGAAAAAGTCTTCAAAGAAAAGGACTTCAAGAAAATTTCATAGGACCTTTGCCTTTTGGGTCATATTAGGGCAAACATGTCTGAGCGTGTGGAAATCACAACACTTTTTATGCACTAGTGATCTAAAACCAACTTGATCGGCTTTGATCAAAAGCTTTCTTGCTGTTGACAATAGTCAAAATTTCGCAAGTTCAAACATATTTTGCAGTTGCTTATAATTTGTGACGACTAATGTCAATACGACTTTCACGAATGTTTGGTCTAAACGCCTAAAAGTTTACATTACTGCTCGTTAATTGTGGTATCATATATCATGTTTAAGTATCTTTCTGCCAAAAATACACACAGCGCTTGTTGGAAACGAAGATTCCTTCCTCATTTGAAAGTTAAAATGAAAAGTAAAACACTGTTTTAACGACGAATATGACAATGAAGTTGGGATGGACTTGGCTCGTTTTATCGGTACTTTTGAGCAGTGTTTTAGGAAGTGGTAACCTCACTACAATACCCATCACAACTTCAGGTAAGGACTTAAATAAGTTATAATATTTTGAGTTGATATTTTTCGTGTTCTCGCTATCTATAATTTCAGAGGATGGCCATTCTCAAGGGAATGACAACTTTGTTTAAACAGATTTCTAACAAAACTGAAGTAAATGTATGATGACAGTCTAATTTGCTCCTCCATTAGGGTCAAAATCTGCACACAGGGTATAACTTCTTCTAATCCAACCTAGTATAACCTCATAAATGAACAGAAACGGTTTCTTTTCTGACCGGAAAGATAGTTTTAAGTGACCTCAAAATGATATGCCCATTCCTGCTCTAAAGACTTTACTTGTGAGTCTGGCTTTACGGATGATCCGCTTAGGAAAGAAATGTATCCTATAAGTGTTTTAGTTGACACAGTTGCTGAATCGTCGTTGTTTTTCACTAGCATATTTATTTTGTGTTGGCTGCTAATGGTTTCCAATTAAAAAATCGTCTTCATTTTGCTTTATACCTCCCTGATTCTGCTCGAGAATTAAATGTAGAGTCTAAAAGTAGAAACCCACAGATTGGTTGTAAAAGTCAACCAATTAGGGAAATATGACAAAATACATAATCTTTACATAATAAGATCAATCATTGAATCAAGATTGCAACACTCCGGATTTACAAGGTCAGGCTCACGTGATTTGTACAAATAATTTGTTTCGTGTGAAAATAATGCAAGATCTTTCATGTATTAATATTCTTGTGTGTTTGCATGGTGACATCAATAAGTAAATTAGCTTGTAGGTACACCACGTAAGTATTTAGGCCTTAATCATTACATGCAATATTTCTTTTCAAATATATGAATTTTAGTTTTTATTGCACTGATGGTCATGAAGGCCCGGTGAACGGACCGAAAGCTTTGCAGTATTAAATACTGGTGTACCTACAAGCTAATTTACTTATCTTTCGTGTAGTTTGAACTTTGTCTTGTGAGAATGACACAAAATGTGACTTTGTTTTGAGTGCATGTTGACGTAGTTTGTTCGTTCACAAGCGTACAAGCATACTGCATGTGGTTTGTAAAATAAAATATAGTTTGTTCTGTGAAAAGTGACATTAACTACAGCTCGCTAATGCTGGAATCTATCGTTTTCTCCAGGCAAAAACAGAACACTGTCTCCCAGCGCCAGTATCCCAAGGTATGTTACCGTGATTTTGTTTTTCAATCTTAGAAAGACACAAATCACACAATGCTTAAATCATTTTCATCTTTCTCTAGAAGCACTCCCAGTACTCCACGCAATATTTCGTCAACGATAATATTCGCATCAACTCCAACAGCAACGGGTGCTTCACTCATCATTGTGACACAGAATGGCACCACGGTTCCTCTACGTTCTTGCACGTTAACAAGTTTGTCAATTAACATACACCCACAGCCTACCCATGCACCATCAACGAATGCCACCCACAGCTCTGTCATGCCAACGCGAAGGAGAAATTTTTGTGCAAAATACGACCGAGCACCTTGTGAAGACGTATTTGCAAAATCATGGACACAATTCAATGAATCAAAGCGATATTTTGATTCAAACTTTGGACTGAATGGAACAGAACGATTCCTGAGTATCATGCTACAAGAAAGCAAAAAAACTGTCACAGACAAAAGATGCAAATGGTTGATTGATGTCTCCTTATGTCAGTATACGCTAGCGCCATGCAATGTCAATGGTGAACCTATTTCCCTCTGTCGCGAAGACTGTGAATGCTTGTCGAAGGAATGCAAAACTTATCTGGATAGATTAATCGGCTCCGCGGCACTTCTTCAACATTTAAAGGGTTTTGACTTTCAACATTTAGTATTGCCCACTAACTGCTCGGTTTACCCTGCTTGGAAGCCTGGCAATGGCTCGTGTGTCTATACTGGGCTTTTTGGTAATCTATTTTTATTTTATCTTATTTCACCTCTTATTGATCCAGTGTTACTACAGGAGGAAACCTAAACTAAACTAACTTTATTTATACTGGATAGCTCTATCAGTTCTAAACTGTTCTTCCTAGAGGTCCAGTAAGGATCACCTCTTATTGATCCAGTGTTACTACAGGAGGAAACCTAAACTAAACTAACTTTATTTATACTAGATAGCTCTATCAGTTCTAAACTGTTCTTCCTAGAGGTCCAGTAAGGATCATCTCTTATTGATCCAGTGTTACTACAGGAGGAAACCTAAACTAAACTAACTTTATTTATACTGGATAGCTCTATCAGTTCTAAACTGTTCTTCCTAGAGGTCCAGTAAGAATCATCTCTTATTGATCCAGTGTTACTACAGGAGGAAACCTAAACTAAACTAACTTTATTTATACTGGATAGCTCTATCAGTTCTAAACTGTTCTTCCTAGAGGTCCAGTAAGGATCATCTCTTATTGATCCAGTGTTGATCAGTTCTGTTCTTAACCCGACAAAGAAACTTACGTCTAGTATTTTTTCTAGATCATTCGAAGTGTACGAGTTCGGCAGGATTTAACAGGAAGATTTTGTGGATTTCTGTCGGTGCTGGCTCCGGATGTCTTATTCTTGTCATATCAATAGTCGTCAAATCTTGCATAAACCATCGTCGAAAGAAATCTAAGAAGAAGTTGGCACTTGAGAAAGTGGCTCTAAATGGAATGAAAACTCGTATCGACTCCTCGACGTCAATGAAGAGTAGACTGTCACATATGCTTGATGAGTCCTTATTGTCCTCGAAGATTGCAGAAATGTACGACCCTAGCAGGCTAAAACAGTTTTCTCTGGATAACATTGAATACATTTCTGATTTGGGAGAAGGACAGTTTGGATTGGTTTTTAAAGGTATGTTCGAACTGTTATTCTTATGTGGTTCGGTACAAATGTTGTCGTGATTGTGTCTGAAGATATCTTTTATATACTTATTTATATTTTAGGGTTAGCAGTAGGTATAGACGAGACAGAGGATCCGTTCAAAGCAACAAATGTTGCTGTAAAAACATTAAAACAAGATTGTAACGAAAGCAGTAAAGACGAATTTAACCAGGAAGTCGCTTTTATGTCTGTTCTTAATCATCCTAATGTTGTCAAACTTCTTGCTGTTGCGACTGAAGAGGAGCCATACTGCATGATCTTTGAGTTCATGGAACTGGGTGATTTAAATCAGTTTCTAAGAAAGGTTAAACCACTGGACGGCTCGAGCGAGATTCCAGGTTAAAGTTTCTACGTAATAACTATAATAATTATTGCAAATGTTATTTTCATTGACTTTTTAGTTGGCTGATCTCTTAGATTGAACTAACATATTATGAATTATTTAGAAAATGAGCTTTGTTTGGAAGATTTTCTCAGCATCTGTCAACAGATTGCTTCAGGAATGTCATATCTTTCTTCCTTGCATTTTGTGCACCGTGATTTAGCAACAAGAAATTGCTTAGTTGACAGTGGACTGGTTGTGAAGATTGCTGACTTTGGACTAGCGAGAGATATATATTCCTCAGACTATTATAAGGTAACTTCATATGTGGAAACAATACCAAATGGAAACAATCAATGGTTTTGTTTTAGATCAGTTTATTCTAAGAGAGTAATTTCAGAACTTTCGCTGAATATTTCTGAGTCCTTCTGACAACACGAAATGTCTCTCTTTAGGTTCGGGGGGATGCAATGTTACCTGTACGATGGATGCCGCCAGAGGCAGTTCTTCATGGCAAATTCACAGTTCAGTCAGATGTATATTCTTACGGTGTGGTGATGTGGGAAGTATTTACTTATGCCTTACAACCTTACTATGGTTATACAAACGATGAAGTCATTGCTTTTGCAAAGCAGGTGAGTTAGTAGAGTTATTATGGTCAATAATGAAATAACAGAAGCATTGTCTCTTAATATGGGGTTGAAAAGACTTAAAGCTATAAGTTTTATTTGATGAATTATTAATATCTGGATTTCTACTTCAAATCTCTTAGCTATTCATATTTTCCTTTATGAGGGTGTATTACTTGGTCAACCAGATGATTGCCCGGAACATATTTACAAACTTATGTTGGATTGTTGGCAAAGGCCACCTGAGAAACGTCCAAATTTTGAGACTATCATCAAAAGACTTGTAAAAGAACCACCAGCAATGTCAGAGTACAGTTTTCCCAAGAGCGTGTCAGTTATAGTTGAAGAGTCAGGGGAGAATACCAATGACCAACCATTGGGAAAAATTCCAGTTCCAAAGCCTGTGAAACTTTCAAGTAAGAAAGATGTGTTGGCTAAGTTTAGTTTAGATTTCCTCCTGTAGTAACACTGGATCAATAAGAGATGATCCTTACTGGACCTCTAGGAAGAACAGTTTAGAACTGATAGAACTGTATGTCCAGTATAAATAAAGTTAGTTTAGTTTAGAAGTATTCTCGTGTGGAAGCATTTAAAAACAACATTCTTGATCTTATTTTTAGATCACTATGTTTACCCAGGCGCTATTGTTAATTGTGGCTTCAATTCGGATAAGGGCGAATTTAGTAAAAAAACTGGAACTCTATCATCGGTTGGAAACAATTCTGCTGAGGATGAAGGTCAGTTTAAAATAATCAACTTCGCAAAGCATGAGATCACAGTTCTAAGAGCAATGAAATTGAGTTATTTCTTTTGTATCCCTGAATGTAAAACATTTCAAAAATAATTTTTATTTGATGTTTTACAGTTCAATTGGATCGCGGTTATCAAAACATTACTGTGACATAGCGGGAAAGCTGTGGAGATATGCGGGTATATATGGATAGAAACTCAAATTTCCTTCGCTATCATTCATTTTCTTTAATCTCACTTTCAAGTTAACCCTCTTCACATTAATTATATAACTTGAACTTCTAAAAGTGAAAGATATAAATACTTTACGTCGTTTCTTGGAAATGCATGCATGAAGTGCGTATAAGGCATCTATAAACAATATCAACATTTTACTTTAAATTATTGGGGTTAAAACAAACAAATATTTATAAATATTTTGACTAACGATTAAGGCCTAAATTATTGGTGGAAAGTAATCAAATTAGAAAATTGGGAAATTCCGTTTAATGAAAAGACTTAGCAATGTATTACAATTATAACTGAACTAATATTTGCCTAACAAAGGAAAGCAGTTTTTGGTTAAAACAAGAGAGCGCGCTGTGAATTTTTTTCCAGGGCAGAAACTGCTAAATCTCTCTGCAACTTTGCGATTACCTGAACTAGCTGTGGAATACTCTCTACACAGCATAAGGTACATAGAATATATATTTGCAGATATACACAACTGCTTAGACTATGTTTGTACAATTTTTTACAACAATTCTTTATGCCCAACGATCTTTATCATGAAAGCTGTAGGAAGTATACATGCTCGCATTAGCAACTATGAATTATGGAAAATTTCTGTTCCATGTTTGACATGTTAAGAGAAATTTGTGTCTATTTCAGTATTTGATTGTGTTACATTTACAATGTTATAATAATTTCCGCTTTCTTTGCAAGATACGGCGTAAATATATTTCAGTCGTCCGCATTGTCGGAATCCATAACAACTACGTGCGTCGTTTCTTGTCATACGTAAGTCTTATGCAATGAGAGATCTGTTCTGCTCGTTCGTCCATCGTTATTGACGTTAACGTTAGTTCGTCCATCGTTAATACTCGTCCGTCCGTCGCTAATGCTTATTTCTGAGTCAGATTCTAAAGCGGAGTTAAAACTTCCTTGACTTCCAGAGTTTGATCTTTCTCTTTTATAAACTGGATTTTCTCCAGGTATTCTTTGTTCCTGCGACTTGATTAATGGATCATTCTGGTTTCCACTACTACTGCTGGACGCTCTGTTGATAGCTAGAGAAGAAATGAAAAAAATAATGGAATCAAGTCAGATTACACGTCGTTTCAGGGAATGATCCACCGTGACTTGCGTCTGAGTAATTTACTTACTCTCGTTAGAAAATGGGACAAAATTCTGGTATTCAGGTTGTGCTTTTTGTTCCTCGCGTGTTCTCGCTTCTTCGATTATGTCGTCTCCATTCAAGGCATCAATAATCTTGTTGTAATCAGGCCGAAGTTCAGGATCCTTCGACCAGCATTTCTTCATAACAGGGTAGACAAAATCAGGACAAAAATCAGGCTTAGCAAGATGAATACCCTGTAAAGAACGATGTTGCAAGATTAACCACAGCGATATCTCTGCCTTTGTTCCTCACACATGAAAAACTCTGAATACTGAACATTTACCTTTGCAATGAATTCCAACACTTCTTTGTTTGTGTAACCGTAATATGGCTGCTTACTGAAAGTGAAAACTTCCCAGAGTAGGACGCCGTATGAGTAAGTATCTGATTCAATGGTAAATTTACCGAACAAGACTGCCTCTGGTGAAAGCCAACGAATTGGCAAAACCGTCTCTTTTTCAATCTGAAAGGATTAAGAATAAAACACTGTTGAAGTTTGTCTTTCCAAGAGGTTCATTATTAAAGAACCGCAACAAGATTACTAACTTTATAATAGTTATTGGAATAGATGTCTCTTGACATTCCAAAGTCCGCGATTTTGATCGTCAGGTCATCTGCAACCAGGCAATTTCTTGTTGCGACATCTCTATGTACGAGACGATGGCTTGCTAAATATTTCAGCCCTCTCGCGATATCTGTACACATATGAATTAAGGTCGCTTGTGACAGACGATCTAAAACAAATAAATAAACATTTTAACCTGCTGTTTCACACTTCCAACGATCTCACATTGTGTGTGCGACAGATACGTCATTGTCCTTGTTTTGAAGTATATGTCGCTTACTTTTGTTTTCGTCGTCTGGTTCCGTGTCATCCTCCAATGGCTGAGACTTTCTCAAGTATTCACTCAGATCTCCATTGCTCATGAACTCGAAGATCATACAATAAGGTTCCTCCATGGCGGATACCGCCAACAGACGGACAATGTTTGGATGAAAAAGAAAATTCATACGACAAGCTTCCTCATCAAATTCTTGCTTCGCTTCGTGAGATGATCCTTTCTTCAATGTCTTCACAGCAACTATTACTTCTGCATCTGGATTATCGTCGTTTAGGCCAATTGCACGTCCTTTAAATGACAACAAGCAATCGTTGCTAAAGTAATTTTCTCTCTAATGGCTTCTTTCTTCACATTCATTTAACGTTACCTTGAAAAACTTGTCCAAACTGCCCCTCACCGAGGTCCTTCTCATAAGCCACTCTATCCACTGGAAACTGTCTGATCTTCTTAACATCGTTGACTGACATCTTCGACTTCAATAAATCTTCAGCGGTCAACATATTGATATGATCTTTCACTGAGACGGCTGGGAAAGACACTCGCAGGTTCATGGATGGTGTACCAGGCTCCAGCTTGGCTTGCTCTTTTCTGTTCCTCCGTCGTCTGTGAAGGAGGAAGGTCAGGAGAATAACTAATACCAGAACTAAAAAGATGACAACTACTGAGGCAATAATGATGACATTGTTATCATCTTCGCTGCCGGAAGATTCTTTGTCTGAAAAGAAATGAAAAAGTAATTATATGTAAAACGTCTGATTATATTCTTGACATTCAGTTTAGATAGTTGCAAAGCTGGCATTAGATACAAGCTACTTACTATTAAAAAGTCCGGTGAGATAGCATTTCTTGCCAACTTTAGCTAAATCTTTCTCGTATTCTAGTTTCCTACAATCAGGGAGTGGAATATGAACGAAGTTGCTCTGTGTGCTGTGCAAAATCAAAGATGCGCCTCCCAACAGTTTCTGCAAAGTATCCGGGCACTGTGTCTCGTACATGTCGCAATCTCTGCGACATATTTGAATGAAGGAACCGTCTTCAAGGCAAGGGGTCAATATATACTGGCATAGAAGAATTCTGACAGTGTTCAGGCAACTCTCTGACATTTCATTTTTTCCAACGACGGTGATAAGGTTTTGAAATCGAGCGAGAAGTTCGTTGGTTTGGTTTAAACCAATACTGTAGTCGATGAACCGAGGGGTGTCTCGATATTGTGGAACGGACATGTTAAGATATTTGAAACAGATTCCATCTTCTGGATACTTAATGCACGTTCCATTGTATTTCTTTGCTCTAGAGAAAATGAAGGTGGTTTCAGTGATTACATCTTCCAGAGATTTTTAGTGTATAAATCACGGAAATGCAGGTTTAACTTATGTTAAAGCCGGGACGAGGGAAGGATCTTTGAGATCCTAAGACGAATGATTAGAAAATGATTGGGAGCAAATTGTAAGAGTTCTAAGAATTCTCGACTATGAAAGCTAGAAGGTATAATATAACCTGTAACAACTAAGGCCAGTATCATTATCAATTTTTGATTCGTTCCAACAGCATCCGTTAGCCAGACAAGGATCTTTGAATATTGTCGTTTGATTACCACAAGGTAAAACTTCGGTGGAGTTCAATGACGTACAAAAGTCACCTGAAATGCAAACATAAATAAGTAGAAAAACATTAAAACCTAATTACAACTTATCACTCAGCAAAACTGTTAATTGTGACATTATTGAACCATTATCGGCCATCACGACATGGGGTTAAATTTTATTAATGATATGATTGCATCAAAATGAAGTGTTGTTTAATTTTAATGATCAGCTCTCAGCCTTTAGCACTCTAAAATTCTTAGGCCAACAAAGGGCCAATACTACGAAGCAACCTCTTCAAAAAATACCAATAACTTCAATTTAAATATACGTCAATGTTTATCGACATTTTTCTATCTCTGAGAGTATAGAGCGTTTGTTCAAAAGCTCTACCTACCTACAGGTAGATTGCAACCAGAACTGGGATGTCAAACATCCCGAAATTCTCAACATGCATTTTACGTGCCAAAACGGGGAATACTGTGGCGTGTCCAAAGCTCTAATAATGGTAATTAAAATATTTAAAAGGATTGCTCTTAATAACGGATGCAACATTAAGCGAGCTCTTTCCTTCATAAGCAATTGCTCTCCTATAACCACCATTTTTCTTTTCTAAGATCTTTAAAAGGTACAATTTAAAGATAAGATTATCTTGCAATGATCTTTGGCATTTTGGTCAGAAATGTCTGAAACTATCTTTGAAGCTAATTTCATCTGACGATTAAGTCGATAAATTTGCAAGGAAAACGTTTGTTTCGTGAAATCGCTGTGGAGGTTTTATTGAAGTTGAGGTAGCTAAGATACCACTCCGGTTGACCCTATGCGACGATTGTCTTCGGGCAATGAATGACACTCACTAAAAACACGCGATCGAAATATTGGTATATAATTTTAAACAATGCATTTATTTTAGCGGTTGCCACAACTGTGCCACAACTGAGGACAATGGAGATATGGAGTTCAATAACTTCATTTCTAGACTTGAGTTTTTCTTTGTCGATGGATAATTTCTTATTTTGTAAGCGAGTTCTTTGACGCCAGTGCATTGTATGTTATATTGGCTTTTTATGCCATTCCTTTAGTCGCTTGTTTGAAAAGTTGCCTACGACTTCGAAGCTACTACGACCATACCATAGCGTTTGAGATAATATTTTGAACAAAAAGTCACAAATTATTCTATCCGGCAAATTTGCGAAGATTTTTTGGGAAAGAAAAGAATGAGCCAGTAATCAATACGAAGTATTTTAGTATATACGCATCAATATACGTTGTTTGTTAATGTACAAGAATGATAACATCATCGTGTCTTTACACTGCGAGTCTTAGAGAACAATGTACGTATAAATAAAGATATTAACTATTGCTTTAACAAAAGTGTAATTGCTAGAATTATCTAGTAAGTATGAATCGTGATGAAAACAGTAAGAATAGTCATTAAATCTATATATATTGTTCACTATGCAGCAGCATAAAAGCCAGCATAAATGGATATATCAGCATCAAGAAGGATATTTAGCAAGAAATGGATACATGAATTTTAATGGCAACATCGTAGCAACATTTACTTGAGTATATCATGTCACATGAATACTGTCACCAGTAGCATGTAACTAATGTATCATATAGCAGGTTTATAGTGACTTTCACCAGGTATTGCCTGATTTTAAATAGTTGGGTCAGAAAGGTGACTTAAAAGAAAGAACCTTGTTCCTTGCTGCGATCTTTATCGCTAACCTTGCTATTTGAGTGTTGTTATGTTAATATTTGTCAATACTTATATGCCTAAAACGACCTGCAAACTGTTTCAACCCATTCATAAAATACAATTTGGCGATAAGAATTCCGTAGAATTGCTTCTTTCATTTTCGTTATATAAAACGTCATTTGAACGTCATTATATAACTTTAAGTTACTGTATCCTTTTAATGGATTTCCCACTCAAATAATTAAAATTTACCTGAAGAAAATCGACCAAAACAGGCAACAAAACAAACACACAAGATCGTCAGGTTAATCCTCGCCATGTTTCGCGACCCTTCGTCCAAGTAAACTAATCCAATATTTTGGAATGCACAACTGGAAAGATTCTTTGACTCTGCAAGGTCCTTATGACTGGTTTAGTAGCACGCGAGGGTCACTCTCATCTGAATAAATTTACTGCCTGACTTCACAGATCTGTGCGAAATTTCACGGTTTCATTGTGGCCGGGAGGAAATTATACGTCACATTGGTCACAACAATTTTGGGTCCAATGAGGAAACCGATTATTAACACCTTGTTACAAGGAAAAAAAACAACTTTCTTTGTATTGACGGGCAATATGCCATTCAATAAAGTCAACAAAGCTGACAGAAGTTCACAGTGTTTCAAGTCAAACACCTTTTGCAAATTGTGAGTTAATTCAGCACAATTGTAATTTGTTCAATCATAATGGTTAAGGTTTATTTTATATCGACATAATAAAGGTTGACTTTAAGTTGTAGAATATTTCTAGTGAACTAAGCACCATATGTTTGTCTGTAACCCTTAATAAAAGCCGCTGAAAGGTTGGACCAAATATTTTTATGTTTACGAATGACATAAAAGTAATTTAGCGCAATTTACAGAATAAACACAGGTCAGCGCAGTGTAAACCACCTTGTTAGAAAAATCCAAACTTACGCAATATAAAAGAAAATGATACATGCAGAAAACTATTGTTTGCTGGTAAAAGCCTGATATGATCCTAAGAAAATTGCTGATATTTTAGAATATCTTTTCTACGAAAGACCCAAACCACGACAGCTTTAGGGTCAATTATTTGAGGAAAGGTCACTGGTCACAAGACAAGATTTTTTTATATCATGGTTTTTCCTTACCTCTCAGAGATTAAATCAGACAACTGAGACAAGGTCGTTGTTCGCAGGCTAAAACCATCCATATTATAGTAATATCACTAATGATCAGTATTTCAAGTATTTTTATGAGCACTAGTCTATTAAACATTGAGCAATATATTTCAGGAGACAGAAGTCCATTGGAGGAATGTTGAACCCGGAAGAGTGGTATTGACATCATGCGTGTTAAAACACATTTCCCAGCACGGAACTCGGTCAAGTCAATAACATAATTTACATTTATGTTGTTTATTGTAGAATTTCCTCACAATATGAATATTAGGGCGAGAACTAACCTTTTACTATTAATAATCTGCGTTAAAATTAACATCAGATGGGAAAAGGCATGTGGACCTATTTATTCAAAGAACTAACAGTATAGCTAAAACTAAAGCTGTTGTAGTTTGTGTCTGAACTGCCAGAAAGAGATCTCAAACGTGGTGGTGCAGTGTAGGTAGTATTCTACAATAAGCTGTCGTGGTTTGTGTCTGAACTACCTGAGAAAGATATCTTAAACATGGTGGTCCAGTGTAGGTAGTATTCTACAATAAGCTGTCGTGGTTTGTGTCTCAACTACCTGAGAAAGATATCTTAAACGTGGTGATCTAGTGTAGGTAGTATTCTACAATAAGCTGTCGTCGTTTGCGGTGTCTGAACTACCTGAGAAAGATATCGCAAACGTGGTGATCTAGTGTAGGTGGTATTCTACAATAAGCTGTCGTAGTTTGTGTCTGAACTACCTGAGAAAGATATCTCAAACGTAGTGGTGCAGTGTAGCTAGACAGTATTCTACAATAAGTTGCATGTCGGGGCTAGACTACCAGACGGCACTCGGCAGACGGGGGTGTCTTGAACATGGTGGTCATGGGATGGTTAGCATCACTTCATTCACTTGTCATCAACTACACAGTTAAACCGCCCATTTTGCACCTTAGTTACACTAGTTGACACCAGATCAAAGGCACTTTGTAGCACCTTCACTGTGAACAAAGGACATCACCCTGACACCTCGCGCTTTTGAGGCTCCAGTGCACTAAAGTCAGTTGATCCCGGAGATTTGAGGTCACTACGAGCATATGACTACGAGGATTTACTCAAAGCCGGGGTATTTTACACCAATACGAGAATGAGTTCCCAGGAAAAAGAGCCAGGACACAACCACTTGGACACAACCAGGAAGAAGATGTAATAATTGTACATAAAATAAAAATGGCAACAGTTCCTGGGGAAAAAGGCGATGGATGGGAGGAACTAGCTGTCCCACCAGAAGTTGTGTTAGGTAACCAGTCTTCAGATGGCAAGTTGCAAGAGGAATCTGTCAATTCTGACACTGTTGAAGTCACTGACGATGCGGGCTCCACCATGATGAAGGTAATTAACGTTGTTGTATAATCGTTAACTGAAAGTCTTCATCGATTGTCACTTGGTATTTTACTTACTTGGTAATATTCCAGCATTTGCTTGATGAAATCAACCTATGTTGTATTAGAGTGTCTGGGTTCTTCGCTAAAAGCCTTTTTTGCTGAATACTTATGAGATTACTCACCCTCACCAGATTACATACTTCTATTCAAAGCAAGTTGTTTGTTTAGTTTAAAGTTGTACAAATATTAAACAGTTCAATTTTAAGTGAATTGTGTTTTAAAATCTGGTTAGTGTAGACAATAAAAGTTAATCTCTGAGTTAATTGATACATTTGATCCAGGAACCCACCTCAAAGACATTATTATGTGGTTATCTTGAAAAATTGGGAGGTATGAACATGCAGTATTCGCTATCAATTCAGCATAAGATATATTCAAACATGCTCCTAATTTAACTGGATGATTAATTACATCTTTTTTCCAAATTTCAGAAAAAGCAATTATCAAAATGTGGAAGAGAAGATGGTAATTAGTAATGGTGATAAATTGGGAGGAGATGGAAGGGTTTGGTGCACTGAATCCATCATCTTTACTTGTGATTAGGTATTTGTCTGGATCTCAGACTAATTTCATTTTGATATCTGTTCATTTTTAGGTTTGTTTTTCAACCTCGTTCATGTTTGCTGTATTACTATAGAAATCCTGATGACGCAACAGCTTTGGGGTATGAAATTAAGAATCATTCAACAATAATTATTGGAGTTCCAACTAGACCAACCAAAATGTATTTTATCAATGTTTTAGACATATTAATATCAGTGATGCAACATTTGCCATGAACATTTCCTCAGGAAGAATGGACCAATTTGATATTTGGTAAATCATTCAATTCTAACTGAAACATTTGTTAATTGTATAAAATATCTATCTGAAAAACATATCCATGTTTAGCACTGCCAACAGAGTCTACAATCTAAAAGCCCCAGATCAACAGACAGCTCTTTATTGGTTGCAAAAACTTCAGGTACCTAAAAACCCATTTAACATTTCTTGGCCTATGTGGATACATTATTAAATATTGATATATTTTTGCCAGGCTAAAAGACGAGAATACAGCAAGAAGATAACTGCACTATGTCACAGTGGTGTAGAAGTGAATATCTTTTAAGTCCATTTAATTAACTTAAATTGTTTTATAGCTAGTATTAACCTTACCATTGTGTTTATCTGGGTTAACAGAATGCATTGTATCCCATTAAATTTTGGTTTTAATTGTACTTTTTCCTTGCAAATAACAGTCACGTACTGTGTAGAGTTCTTTGATTTACTGACAGATGATGAGTTTCCATGTGAAATTAAAGATGGATACACATTTTTAGGCAGTTCCTGAACCAGTAGAATCTCCAGGTCTCATTGCCACAGTTGCTTCAGGGAGTTTCAGAGAGAGTGGTATGTTATATTAATTGATTTGTATTAACTAGTTTTGCGCAGCTAGGGTTGACACGATTGACTGCTTGTCTCCACTAAATGCTATAGAAATTTACAACTGAGGGAAATTCAAAGTTGAACACTCTCATGGCAAAAGTTAAAGACTCTTTTTTCTGAACATATCGACATTTTGTTCAATAATGAATCATGTGAACCTCATATTTAATTCATTTGACTCTGAAGCCTAATTTAATTAACTAAATAGTCTTAATTCAACTATGGAGCATTTTGTCCATAGAGGAAAATATCTCAATGGTTACCATAAATAGTTTTATAATCAACTCATAAATTTACAGATGATGAAATAATTGACTCAATCCCAATGCCAGACACTGTTGGTGTAGAGGCTGCAAAGAGATTAACAGAGGGTGGAAAATATGGCAAGATATTTAAAAATATTGCAAAGTAAGAATTTGTTAATTTTTTATTTGTTCATATAAGATAATTTTGTTAACATTAATTTCATTATTTAAAACTTATATATCACATCACGTCCTGCAATATGGCAAAACCCTTCATAATGAGGACTTAAGAGGTTTTCATCTAATTTAGATTAATTAAGATGAATACTGTTTTGAAATTTTCATGTAGCAAACGTTATTCTATGTTCGACTCAGTGGAGAACAGTGATGCAGACACTGTTGTAAGGAGGTGAGTTCTTCCCTAAATATTAATTTGCTGTCGTAATTCATTAAATACTTACAGTATATCATAAAAATATGACTTTTTATCCATTCTTTCTTATCTATTTCTCTTTCCTTTCTTATGCAAAGTATTTCATTCTTTCTTAGTTCATCTATATCTGATGATACACCAAGCAAACGTTTGATTAATTCAAGAAAGTAAGTATGATTATGATTATCAGTGAAAAATATTGCATATACTTATCCAACTGAATTTGCTGTTTTTATTAGGAGGTTTTCAATGCGTAGTGGATTTAATATGTCTGTGGATAAAACACAAACAGATTGCCCACAGTGTCACAAGGTGATGTGATCTCAGCTTAGTTACAAAGTTGTTTAAAAATGAATGTTTTCTTGTGATCTCATGCAGTTACACAGTCTAACTTGCTTGTTTCATTGCTTCTTTTTAAAACTATTTATTACTTTTATTGTTTTAGCTCAAACAACAGCTTAAAGATTGTGGTGATAAACTTGAAGAAGCGAACGAGTAAGCTAGCTAGTCAAGAGTAAAAAAAGTATAAATTAAAAGTGAGATGTTGTTGAAATATAGTTTGTTGTAATTTGTTGCCAGGGATGCTAAAGCAAGAGAAGAAGCTATTAATTCTTTGAATGAATTTATCAGGTGATTTTAATAAATGATGTATACAAAGGTAGTCATAGTAGAAATGTGAATTTTTGTCTGTTCTATCCACAGGCAAACTGTTCTTGAAAGAACCTCAAGGTAAACAACTTTAATTTATAATCATTTCTGCTGGCAAAATATTTGTTGATGACTTAATAATAAAACGAATGAAGGAAGTTAACCATGGATGCATCTCTATCTTATCACTGCAGCCAGGAGGACTCGTCAACCACCAGTCATGATACTAGTGACAATCAACTGTACATAAAAAGGGTAATCTGCTGAATTATACAATATTCGATCAGTATATTTCAAAACTTCAATGGTGATAATAAAAACTTTCACACTTTGATATTTCCTATGTTTTTGTATTTTTTAGCTGGAGAAAAAAATGAGGTATTCAGCAATATTTTCTATTCAAACGTGTTGTTCAAAACCACACCACCATTACAGCCATACAGTTTTGTAGAAACACTTCTTGATTCGTCAACTGTTTCAACTTATTTCAGAGAACAAAACGATAAACTAGCGAACTATGAAAAAGAAATAGCCATGTTGAAAGAAGTGATCTCCAGTAAGGATGAGATTGTCATGAAAACCACAAATGAGGTTCGTCTTTTTTATTCATTCTAAAGATTTCCATCAGTGTCTTCCATGTATCAACTCTTGAGCTAAGAAATTTATGATATTTCAGCTGGCGACAGTGTCGGTTTCAGAAGAGACAAGCAAACGAAAATCCTCGGAATCCGAGCTTACGCAGTCGCCTGACAAAAATAGTGCATTCTCAAGTTTAGGAAGGTTAGTGGTCAGTAACTCATCATTGTTGAGTAAAACCATCTGGTGTAGGAACGTCCCTAACGACTGGTGATAGTTTTATAGTGCCTTGGTTACATATCAATCTTGGATGAATTCTTAGAAGCAGAAATACACACTCTTCTTTCAAATAAACTCAAACGTTTAATTCCAGCAGTGACGATGCCTTCCGATCGTTTCTTCATCATATCGAGGCTCTCGAAACGGACAAAGAGAAAGTTGATAAACTAAAGGTTCGTGTCTGGAAACCAACGGATTACCAGAAGGCCGTTGATGCGATATGAGCCAAGCTGCAGGAACTAACAATTTAACGACATCATTCATATGTTTTACCTTTTAGGAAGCTTTGCGGGCATACATTGCTCAAAATAACTTCTTGAATAGTGAAGTTGTGGAAATGAATGAACTCAGGAAGAATGACACGGAAAGGATTCGTAGTTACATCATGTGAGCGTTTCCTAGCACTGCATAAAACCTCATTTAAGGTCTCCTAAAGAAGAGTTGTATATTTTTATTCATGCAATCTGCTTCGTTTTTTTTATCAGCAAAATTCAAACACAAGAGGCTAATTTATGTAAAATAAAGAGCAAGTTTTATTTTCTTGTTCAACAAGTGAATGCTCCAGTCAAAGGTAACTTGATGATTAACTTTTCAAATTTGTTTTATTTTTATATTCAACTAAGAGAGTTACTCACAATTGAACAATTTAGACGGTCAAACTGGTGTTGTTTCTGATGAAATAATTACACAGTTGGTCGACGAGGCGATAGAGATTGAATCACAAACGAAGACGAATGAGGAAGGAAGGTAAAATACCAACATTCAAACGAAGGTGTTTAATAAGAATTAGCTGTGGCTCAGCGTCTGCTTAGCTTAAGAGAAATATCTGTCAACGTCGACTTCAGACGCATTGTATGACAAAAATCGGAGCATTGTATGACAAAAATCGAACCGTCGACAACCGTCAAGTAAACATGCAGTTGTTGGACACGTTTAATGAAAGTTTACTTGGAAAAGCTGCCGCGTTTTTCAATGATTGTTTTAGGTTTATCTTTATTACGATATTTTAGAGTCCAACATTTTCAGCTAATAGCCCCAGTTCTATGACTTGTATCATCGTGTGACATCATTTCTTATATAGTCAAGCTGCTTTTGATCAGTACGGTTTCTACACGAAGCTTGACCGAGGTGATGACGATGCCTTGGCGACCGTTGCCGACAAGCTAAATAGACAGGTATAACATTAAACAAGTGTTGTAGCGAGAAATTCATGAGAGGCTGGACATAGAAAATTTGTGGTTTTCATTGTTCCAGGTGAATGTTGTGAACGACGATGTTCGTAAGACGTCTTTGAAGGTAAAATGGGAAAATTACATGATGGCGAATAGAAATAAAGAATTTCAAAAATCGGTACGCAAAATTCACGATCTTTAGTCATTGCTCACATTTGCAATTCATCTATGGTCCGATATTACATGAAGTTTCATTCCTTGTTTCTTTCAGCCCGAATTAAAGGGTCTGATCCGAGCCGGCGTTCCCCATGATCTTCGTGCCAAACTCTGGATGAAATGTGTCAACTCTCACGTGAAACCCACGAAGCGTATCTCAGGTACTGGGTACTACAAACGGTTGCTTGCGTCAAAGAAGGATACTTTCTGTCCTGCCGAGAAACAAATTGGCCTGGATTTATTAAGAACCTTGCCGAATAATAAATATTATGATAAACAGAACGCTGATGGGGTGAGTACTATGATTAATAAGATTTTGATGAAGCAACTTATCATAAAGTAGTTAGTTTACGTTCGATTCCAGTTATTTATTATTTAGTGCTACCAGATTCTACCATTTTTCTAGATTGATCAACTGCGTCGTGTTTTATTGGCATTTAGTTTACACAACAAGGAAATTGGTTATTGCCAGGTGATTCAAAGTTCTTCATGTTTTCCTGTGGATAATTTAGTTCTCTCATTGTGTTTATCAGCAAATATTCTGTTTTGTTTTAGGGTCTCAACCGTTTGGCAGCCATTGCTCTTCTTTATCTGAGTGAAGAGGAGTCATTTTGGTAAGAAATATAAACACAACTGTAGCAACATGGGTTAAACCTTTCGCTTGAGTCAAACCAGATGCATTCCTCCTGTTATATAATGACTGAACTATGATAAAATGTTGTGTAATTTCAGGGCACTCGTCGCTCTAGTTGAGTATGTGATGCCTCAAAACTATTACAACCAAACGTTGCTTGCTTCACAAGCCGACCAGGTTAGTGGAAACTTTACAGTATTTCGATACGACTGCATGTGCTGTCTGCGGTACACGAGATACGAACAAGTTTACATTGTTTCCTTCAGCGAGTTTTGAAGGACATTCTGGCGGAGAAAATACCGAAAGTCACGGATCATTTGGATAAACTAAAGTAACGTACAATTTCATCTTTGCATTTTTTCCATCAATTTATTTCAGAGCTACAATTTTATTTCCTGAATTTTTCAGTATCGATCTTTCATTGGTTACATTCAACTGGTTTCTCACAGCGTTTGTCGACAGTGTTCCAATCGAGGTTAGTAATTCACTCGATTATCTTATTTCATGACGCGGAAATGAACGCAAAGAAAAATTTCATTTTTCAGATTGTTTTGCGTATTTGGGACTCTCTACTTTACGAAGGAACGAAGGTATTTATGCTTTTTTACATTTTCAAATGAAAACAAGTTTTTTTAATTTAAGCTTAATATTTTTCTTCTTAGATTTTGTTTCGTTTTGCTGTGGCGATATTTTACGTCAACGAGGCAGAAATTCTCAAAATAACGGAAAACATGAAAATGTTCACATTTCTACGGAATATGCCATCGCAGATTCTAAACTACGACAAGTTCTTTCAGACTGCGTTTCAGACCGTCAATCCATTCCCCATGCAAAAGATTACGTCATTACGGGTACAACATCTTGCAGCTCTCAAGGTAAGGCGTTTGTTACACGACGTCATTTTGTAGTTGATAGATTGACGTCATTCTATGGCCAATGAGGGATCTCTAAGGATGTTAAATATTGCAGGGTGAGTTGGAGGAACTTGAGCGTGCTCGACGAGCATACGATGAAAGAAAACCGAACTCAAATGATGACTTGGCTGAATCATGACATGAGGTAGTCTTCATTTATTATGTTATACTCTCCCAGCTGTGGTCAGAGCAGTGGCCTGGGGGGCATTTCTGGGCCCGTTCGTTGAGGGAGAATTCTGCAAATAGTTACTATTGCAGTATGATTTGATTGCAAACAATTTAGAATATATAACAAGCAACCAAGCACCTAGGGAAACGTTTTATGACATTGAAACTTATATGTATTTTACTAGGGGGTTAATGGCACATATAATATAATACAATTTTATGGAATAAATTATCAAATATTGGATATATAATGCACCATATAATCTTGTTGATGAATAACGAACTAAAACGTTTTAAGCGATGTTTTTAGATATCTTATATCTCAAAACGATGGTACAAAAAAGATTGCTTTATTAATTTATTATTGTAATTTAAAATGACATTGTGCATAGTTATGATAAACCTGTTTACCTCAAACAAATTCAAGTATTTAGTTTCATTAAATAGCAGGTCAGAAATTATAATAGTTAGTTGTTCAAAATGATAATATATTTAGTGCAGAATACTAAAGATAACTAACGAAAGATATAAAAAAATCCACCTTTAATTAAAGTAAACAGGCCTCGTTCAAATTCAACTAAATTATTTACGTAAGTTTAAATAATATTTTAACTAAGATAAGATAAGATAATATAAAATATGCGGGAAATTTTTTCTTCCCTATCTTCTAGGAAGGCAGGTGCTATTTTTTGCTTTACTTGAAAACGTACATCTATAATAGTTTTTATTGCTAGTAAAAAGGTTTTAACGTGTTTTAAATTAGTATTTCTATGATTTTTAATTTTTATGTCAAAATAACTTTGATACTACATTTATACTAAAGAAACCTGACTCGCTGATCTCACAATTCCCTTAGTTACTTCAGGTATTTTCCTCGTATATCCGTCCCATGACTTTGACGGCGCGTGGAATGTATTCATTGAATGACGTCGATGCATGACGTTATACTCTGGCGCAGTACGATGACGTAGGTGATTTCTCGGGGCAAGGAATCGTTGGGCGATCATGCCAGGTTGTTGTCTTAATAATATCCTTCCAGTATCAATGTTCATTATCGTGGATCTCCGTTTCGGGCCGACATTTGCTCGGTGGCTCCCAGTCTCTTCATCCTCTGGGTTATATTTATGTGACAATATTTTTTTGTCTGATATATTCGAGATGTTTACTTCGCTTGCTAAGATTGTCACAGTTTGCACAGTCTTCACGTTATCCTGATCTTGAGATGATTTCGAGTTGTCGATATGGACAATTCTTGCTTTATTTGGTGTTGTTTGTGCGGTAGAGCCCTGTCTAGAAATATCTTTCCCCGCATCCTCATTTACTTGGTTTAAACTGTCAGTTTGAGAGGCTCCTTTTCCAGTCTTATCATTGTTTTGTGACGAACTACTATGATTGTTTTCTACTGAATTTCCAACATCAACATAACTCGCGCTTCTCTTACAAGGACGCATTTGTTGCGCAGGAACTACTTTCAAGTCGGAAATACTTTCCATACTCCGTCTATTTTGTTGTATGCTTAGTAAATTTCCCGCCAAGCTAAGACCACTCGCAGGGGTCAGAGGCAAAGATTTGGAGTGATGGTGCTTCGGGACAAAAGGTTGTTTCAAAACAGACGTTGAGGGGCCAGAGTTAACTGGTGCATCTAAAGCCTTTGATGGCGTAACACGTTCATTAACGATCAGAGACTTTCGATGAGTTTCGCTTGAGCTCGTATATTTCCCTGATCTTTGTTTTTCATCTCTTCCAAATCCTCTTTCTATTTCAACGGAAGGTTTAACGTGTTGTTTTTCATCGTCTTTATTCGGCTCGTTCATCTTTTTTATTGACTGTTTTCTTCGAATTTCTGATCCGGGGTCAATTAAGGTTTGTGGACAAGAACTGCTACGAGCATGAACCGGGAGTATTTTGAGATACGAGTCATTGCAGGGAGTTTTCCCAAGGCCTCGACTGAAGTCTTTTCCTTTTGCCGTGAATGGCGTAAATGTTCTCTGAGAACAGGAATTTCTATGAGAAGGATTGGGGAGAAGACTTGATGTGGAATGTTGATATTGAAGATCATTGTGGGATTTATTTTTTAAAAGAAGATCGCTGCTAGACCAGGAACGTTTGTGCTGATGTGAACTGTCAACATTTCCCAAAGAATTTTCACGAACTCTCATCCACTTGTTGTGAATAATGCGATCGATTTTTCGATTCTGCATCTTCTCAAACATTTCCGGGGAACTTTCAACTAATTTGGACAAGAGTTTCGTGTCCCTCACGGCCTCCTCGTCCAGCAGGATACCAGAATCCTGTTTACCATGATGGATTATCACCGTCTTAGTATTTGATGTTTTCTTTTGTGGTATTTCAACATTGCTTGTTTTGACATGAGAGCTTAGTTCGTGTTTGCTAAGTGAGATTAACTCCGGCTTATGGTCTGAGATGCTTGCAGGAGATTTGAGGAAGTCTTGTGTATTGTGTTTTGATGAAGAGCTTGTCAAAATATCATTCGAGTCTGCCTCCGGGGTTTTTACAGATATCCCTGAATCTTGTCGATCGTGTTTCCATATACCTTGAGTCTGAAATCCATCTTCAGTTGTCTCGTTTTCATTATCATTTTCCTCGCGGCTATTTTGAATTAAATTTTTTCCATGTACTTCCGCAAACACCTCCTCCTCAAATTCATTTCCCGAAATATCTTCCAAAGCTTCCTCGCAGTGCTCTCTCTCTTTTTTCAGTTCAGTTTTTAAGCCACGAATGCTTTCTTGAAGTGTCAAAAGCTGTGTGTACAAAGCTTTGTCCTGTCTTTGCATTCCTTCCTGGGAAGAGAGGAATTATTACATAATTTAGAGACACATTTCAAACAGTGTTGTCGTTGATTATCCTGTTCTGTCCTGTCTTGTGTTTTTCATTTTCTTATCTCTCGTGCAACGGAAAAGAAACCTCGAATCTAGTGAAGGCAATATTCTACAATAAGCTTTCTTCATTTCGCTCTGACTCTAAACTGCTTGAGAAGACCATTTTACAGGAATTAGTATTTTGTGACAGTAATTAGGAATTTTCCTGCGAAATAATATCAACTTATATATGCATTTATAAAGATTAATACATGTCTTAGATATACTGTAGAAAAAGTATAAAGTTTAGACGAATATAATCCGTCCTTCTAGTCCATGAAATAAATAGAAGCTATACTCATACTAACAACCTGACCTACAGTATATATCATCTTAAACATTCAACTTTAAGGAAAGAAATTATTGGGAACATATACCAAAATACATCGGCAGATAAAAGCTTTGATAAAATATTAATCAATACGTAATTTCTTTAACAAACCAACCAAAGCCTCCTCAAACTCTCCTATTCTTTGCTTGTTCATTCTTGAAAGTTCTAACCAAGAATATCACAAAAGCCTTGCACAACTACAACCCGAGACCAGCCAGCTCAAATATAACTTTGCCTCAAGGCAGTTTGGTTTTGACAAGAACAAATGATAAATGTTTGCATATAATTTCCCGTGTGATAGTGAAGACATAGGATAACAGTGGTTACTAGGCAACTAACACCTGCTCTATGTAGGAGGGATATATACTTATTCATTTCCCTTATTCATGTCAAGTGATAGGCTTTTCCAGAAGAACTTGTGTCTTTCAACTTAAACACGAAATCAAGGAATAATTAAAACATATTCTCATGTATATGCATACTATATTATTTTTATCAAAAATACTAATTTTCATATCTAAAGTAATTTACATTTTATGCTTGTCTCTTAAGCCGTAAGTTATGTGAAAAATCAACAATGTCTAAGACGAAAGCAAGTATTTAGTTCGAATATTATTTATTCAGAAGTCAATACAAACACTGCATGGATAGATCTATGCGTGATAAGTGTTTGGTATTTCAATAGTTTTTAAGTTCGATTTCATGAAACTAAAGAGGGTGCTTCTAAGCAACTAATACCCATAGTTTTAATCGTATAATATTTAGATATAAAGGAAATGTCTTTCCTTTTTGCGTAATGACTCATAAACGTCATTTCCATCCTGTTTTTCTACCTGTTCGCAAAGATTACTTAAGAAGTGCAAAAGTGTTTTAAGATGATTCACGCGCAATTTCTTGCAGGCAGATTACTATATTGAATAACACCGCGACACTTGACCACCACGTTTGCGGCATGCTGGTTCTCAGACAAGCTACACTACAGATATATTAAACCCTGTGAGGGACGAGTTCAAAGTTCTTCCTTATTTCATCCAAAATGATTGACTCAAACAACTTAATTAAGAGATTACAGTGGTTGCTATGGCTAGATTTCTCAACCCTTCAAAATATAAGTAGATGTGCGATGGCCGGTACAAAAGCGTGACTTCTGTCATTAGTTTGTCATTAATCTATCACAATTCAACCTGTAAACATGCCATTTAAACTCGCTTGCTCATCAGTTTTAAAAAACTTGTTCTTCCAGTAGCTTCAGTAAGGATCCAGTATTACTACAGCAGGGAACCTGAACTAAATTAACTTTATTAAGACTGGATCGTTACAGCAGGTGTGAACTGTGAACTGTGAACTTAAAGGTCCGACACGCATTCAATAATACCACACACGCATATTTAAAAAGTTCGTTTTCCTCCAGCAGTAAGACTGGATCAAAACTAGCCATTAATTAGGTGATAGTGATACCTACTGGACCTCTAGGAGAGCCCGTCGCTGGATCTATCCAGTGTAAATAAAGACACTGTTTAGTTTGCCAAATATCTTCTGCCTGATAGAGATTTTGCGGAATCAATCATTACCTAAAAATAAACTTACCAATTCTTGACGAAGAATTGCCAAAGATGCGTCAATTCCAATCGAAGACATTTAAGAAAGTTTTCAATTTGTTAAAACGTTTCAAACTTCTCTGTATTGCTTCCTGACTTAACTTCCCACGGATAACGACGAGAGAGAGCGTTTATTTATTGTTTGACCCAGCAGTACATTCCAAAATCATTGTTATCTTCGCTAGGAATCCTCCTTAAAGATGAAAACAATTAACTTAAAACGATTCGTTTTATTCTCTTCGGCAAAACATTTTATGTTTGACTAGTGTTTTAATCTTCAATGCGGAGAGGATTATGGCAAAGCGGTGTTGCATGGGGCATCATATTATATATCAAAATTTCAACTGTCTTGGACTCTTAGACAGTGTGTAAACTATGCGATCCAATAAAGTCTAATCTTTCATAATCCTTTAATTCATACTACCATGAAAGGAATAAGTCTTTATTAATCTGTATATAACCTAATAGCCGCATAGGAATTTATCAAAATTGCTGTCAAGAAGTGTTATGTTTATTAATTTGATGTAAGGAGATGGAAGCGCAGTTTTGAGACTGTTAAGCACTTGCTAAACGAGGACAAGAGTTGATTGGAGTTGATGAATGATGATGATGAAGCTCAACCTTATCAACCCTCACTGCGACATAAACTCTCAACTAATTAAAGTTTTTGATGAAAGTTTCTGAGTGTTTCCTCTTGCTGGACATGGACTGGATATGGTTTTATTCAGATTAAATCTCATTCAACACTTGCTCTTGTTCGACACGGGCTTTAAAAGTGACGAAATTCTATTAGTTAATATTCTTATAGGGTTTCTTGTTCACAACAGGACGCGACGCAGTTTCGTGTGAACAATGAATCCTAAAACAATTTGCGCAAGAAATAGCTTATCCATCCATCTTGAAAACCAAATAAAATATGTAAATATATACCTTGCTTAAGTAGATTCTTCTGAAGTGTGTCTTCCGCAGAATGCAGTTTTGACAAGAGAATGTTTTTCTACACAGACGGAGCGCTATATTGTTAGAACAATCTTACTATGGCAATAGCTTCGTGGTTAACCATTGTTTGAATAAACGCAAAATATTTACTCTTTGCGGGTCAATTATGTATAAATATGTAGAATATTCTGGCTATTTAGATAAATAGTGTCGGATTTATTGGAAGGGAAGGATCTAGTAACAAGATATGGCGACTTCACTAACTTGATTTAGATTTTCCCTGCGGGTATTATGCATCCCGTTAATTCAATGAGACCAGAGTTAAACTTCATGCATATAATACGAAGTATGGCAGTGAGTAATAGGCGTCGGTCTGAACTGTTTGGTAAAATTTAAAACAGAACTGAACTGTTTGGTAAAATTTAAAACAGAACTGAACTGTTTGGTAAAATTTAAAACAGAACTGAACTGTTTGGTAAAATTTAAAACAGAACTGAACTGTTTGGTAAAATTTAAAACAGAACTGAACTGTTTGGTAAAATTTAAAACAGAACTGAACTGTTTGGTAAAATTTAAAACAGAACTGAACTGTTTGGTAAAATTAAAACTGAACTGTTTGGTAAAATTTAAAACAGAACTGAACTGTTTGGTAAAATTTAAAACAGAACTGAACTGTTCGGTGAATTTAAAACGGAACTGAACTGTTTGGTAAAATTTAAAACAGAACTGAACTGTTTGGTAAAATTTAAAACAGAACTGAACTGTTTGGTAAAATTTCACATTCGAAATTGTCAACTCACAATCAAAATTGTCAACTCACATTCGAAATTGTCAACTCACATTCGAAATTGTCAACTCACAATGGAAATTGCCAACTCACAATCGAAATTGTCAACTCACATTCGAAATTGTCAACTCGCAATCGAAATTGTCAACTCACAATCGAAATTGTCAACTCACATTCGAAATTGTCAACTCACATTCGAAATTCGAAACAGTTCTATTGGCAATCTATTCGTGTTGCCGTGCTATAGTGTCCCTAACCTGCTTGCCGCACGCAGACACACGACGCTTGCGTACCTATTTTTTTAACTGCCTGGATTTCACCACAGAAGAGATATAAACAAGTCTGTATTAAAAAAAAATTAAGATGAGCAGAGCTCATATGTTATACGATGACAAGGCAATCGACAAAGTTCTGAACGTGAAATGGCAGGAGAGGTGGTCAGAGGAAACAATATTTCGGTTAAAACAAGGCAATGGTTTCATTATTGAAGGAAAAGTCAAGGCTAAGTATAAAGTTGCAATTAACGAATCTACTTCTGGTAAAATAGTTGGTCAGTACAGTCTACTACACCTAGAATTTATCAGGGCATATAAACGATCATTTGATAATTCTAGTTGTGAAATTGAGCCATGGAAATCTGGCACAAAGAAAGTTAACACTGGCCATTTGATGTCTTCATATAAGACTGTTGATGTAGAGACATCAGCTATTAGTCTGCAGGAGTTGATGGTGCTTCTTAATGTCCCAGAATTGGATGGTTACTTGCCGAAACTGGAAACAAACACCTTGCAAGTATTTTATAAGAAAGGCAGTTTGGGAAATATTGAAGCAAGCGTTGGTGAGAGGTTCCGTCTAAAGACAAAAGGAGATGGCCCCTACATTGAGTATATTGCAAGACTTGATGAAGGTGTATATGTAATCATCTCTAGGTTGACAGTTTTGCTACTATCTGCAATATTGGTTTATGGATGTACTGCCTCTTAATGTCTTGGACAAGTCAAACATTGTTGTGTTTTGGTGTTTTTTTATAGGTCATGTTAGTTCCTCAGAATATGAGAGAGAAGGTCAGAAGTCATGGACAGACAAAATTATGTCAATGAAGGGACAAGAGTTTCAGACATCAGACCAACCTGATGGAGTGGATGAAAGTGAATGGGATGACTAATATTAATAATGATTAAATAATGATTAATTGTCTCAATTATTACAAAGAATGATGTAAAAAATTAGAACAACAGCACAGATATAAATAATTATTGATAAACGAACAGCTAAATTCAGGCAAAAAACAATGCTAGGGTGAAGGTGATGGAGGCAGATTTTAATGAAAATGTACTTCTGTAATGATAATATAGGAAGTGTTTTTAGGAATTATCATCAGTTTACAGTTAAACTGAGATTAAATAGAGCTCAGTGTCCAACTGATTTTGGAGCATTTTTGAGAGACTGGGGAAATTACAAAATGGCGCCCATTTGGTTTTGAAAAAAATTACAAAAGTTTTTACATGTAATACTTTATATTTGGAAAGTACTTTTGTACCAAAAAATATACTAAGCTTTTGTACCTTATATTAAACTATATTTCATGTTGGGAAAGAATGCCAAGGTACGGTGTGGTAACGTACAAAAGTCGAAAGAAGTCAAACAATACTAGTGCTCAAACACAATTCGATCTTGCTTTGGCGGCAAGAAATAAACCAAATGCAGAGTCTGAAGGGTGTAATAGTAATAAAAGTGGCTCAAGGAAGACAATGAATAGTGAGAAGAAGGATAAACGACAGAATGCATCTTCTGATGCAAGCAAAAAGAGAAAATTGAACCCTCTTTTGGAAGATGAATTATTTGGATTTAATGGAAGTGACTCTGAAATTGGGCTATCAATAAAACGGAGCAAGTCCCCCTCTAAAACAAGGCTTCTCCCAAAACAAAACTCTCCAACGAAAGCAGACTTAACTGTTGAAATTAGTTCACCATTCGGAACAACTCCAGGTTCACCATTTAAAAGCAGGTCACCTTTGAAATCAACAGTAAAGTCAAAGGACTCTCCATTAAAAAAGGAGGGAAAATTGGTTACATTTAAACATAAAAACACAGATGATAAAGAATGTCAACATTCAAAAGATCCAGTTGATATGATGGAAAAGGATGGCTGCTCTGTTGAGGAAAAGAAGAAACAGGTTTCCATTGGGGCTTTGATAAATACATTTGATTCAGCATTGCTTTGTCAGTGACTGTTCGAACCCTCACCCCTACCCCATTTCAGACCAGTAAAAACCAGTTTTACCCCAAGATCTTTGTATTTCTAAAATGAAATATTTTGTAATAGTGGATCCGATGCTACTTTACCCCTCTTCACCCTCAAAATCAAAATCTATTTGTCAACTGCCCTAAATAATAGAGTTAAATGTAAAACAAATATCGTAAGATGATTGTTATGAAATATTTGTTTACAGTCACCATTCAAACGTTTTCTAAAGAACAATGTGGTCTCTTTAACGCCAAAAAAGCAGGAAAGATTTGACCGAAGATTCTCAGCTTTGGTAAGTGAAATCAATTAACTGACAATACTCTTCCACTGATGAGTAAAATCAACTGGAATTAGACAGAGTAAAATACCAAAGTAGGCCACATCTCAGTGCATTGCAAATAAGCCAATGGTTTAACAAGCAACACTGAGAGATGTTAAAATTATCTGGTGTGAGACAGAGTAAAATTTATACTAGGTTAAGGCACATTATTTTAAAGGTGCATTCCAAGCTAATGGGTAAACAAATAAACAAAAAATAAACAATTAATCAACAAGCTTTTTACCATTGATAACGCAAGCCAACAAACAGTGTACAATGTGACAAGGAACAGTTGAAGGATAGTCAAAAGATAACCAAAGCATCTTCATGGCCTATTGAGGCATCCTCATCATCATCAAGAGTCAGAGTTAATCGTGAGGAGAAAAAGGTACTAATCTACTTTGGTCTTTTGCTCTTTTTCAATACATGCCTCCAATAAACATCCATCTCTAAAAATTCTTTATTTTCTTAGTTATTTACTGTTGTTCGAAATGTGAAGCATAAGTATGCTTGTTTAGAAGATGGAGAAACTCAACAGGTGACTACAGTTATCTTCTTGTGGGTTAATTATTTCCATGTGGGTTATTTTTGTCTGGGTGGGCCTTAAATTGAATCAAATGTTTGATTGAAAAGTAATGGTACAGTGGTACTTGGTGTTGGACAAAGTGTAAATTTTTTTCTAATGGTTTTTTTACAAACAGTTTTTTGATGATGTGGAGTTTGCTCTTGATGGTTTAAGAAAAGATTTGTCATTGGGTGCACGTTGCACAAGTGCTCTAGATCTTGCAGTGCAGTGTTCTACTCCATCATTTCGTGCAAGTCTTCGTGCTCATGGTTTCATATCAAAAATATTCGAGTGCTTGCAAGATGCCCCGACAAATAAGGTAAGAATATAGGTGTTAAGGCTTTCATACATTTGTTAGAAATTGACTAACTTAACTGCTATCATATGTCAATTCTCCATTTTTTTCCTGCAGACTTTGGCACTTTGTTCGTCTTGTGTATTGTTCATGATCACAAGGGATCGCTTGTGTGTGGATTTTGATCATTCAATTTTAGGTACAGTACATAAAGTTGAATTTAGATCCATTAAACATATTTTTTACTACATTTTGCTTCATTTTTATAGAATTACTTCTGAAGTTGTTATGTATTGGGACACAAAGTCAAAAGTCAGAAATGAATGTGAAGAAGAATTTGCATGAAGAAATGGTTAAAAAGACAAGGTATATAATTATTCAATTCTTAGTTTGTAAATTCACAGCTTGAATGTAAATTATTATTATTTCTAGGGAAATACTCATACAACTCTCAGAATCTCATACAATGTTCCTTGATATGGAAAATTTATCAGTGAGAAAATGACATTTTTGATTGAATATTTTATTGTGTTTAATTTTCTGATACCAATAGCAGTTGACAATTCCAAATATCAATACAAATTTGTTCAAATTCTTATGGTAATTCTTACCATTCAACGTAATTATTTTAGTCAGCATCACTTGCTCGGGAGTCATTGCTGTCTTTGACATCACAGAGAACTGGAGAATGGTTCAAAGAAGGTGTGAGAAAGTTGGGAGGACTGGATTACATTGTTGATTTAGGTATTCAGTTGATTAGCTACCATTTATTGTTTTGTATATTTTACCCATAAATATAATTGAAGCAGTAATTTGATAGTTTTATCAATAGTGAAACAGCTAGAGCTTCACACTGACCGCTACAATGATACATAGACTGGCTGGGTGATATGACATGAGGAGAGCTAGAGCTTCACACTGACTGCAACATTGGTACATAGGCTAGCCAGGTGATATGACATGGGGGAAGCTAGAGCTTCACACTGACTGCTACAACGATACATAGACTGGCTGGCTGATATGACATGAAAAATGATAACTAAAAATTTGCATAGCAGGACCAAGTCATCAGGCTGGCAATGTCACTGCTTACATTCCTCTGTCAGTAATTATAATTACTTCTTGTTCCAGTCTCGACATCTGTTGTTAATATAAAAGACAATACTGCAGAACTTATCAAACACGACAAAGAAATTGAAAGCATCAAGAGATGTTTGAAACTTATAGAAAATGTATGTATATAATATATTTACTTGTGTGTTGGATAATTCCTAGTCAATCTGCCATTTTGTACTAAAAATCTGCCATTTTGTACTTTTATTCCAATTGTATAAATGTGACAACCATGTATTGTACATTTGAAGGTTACACTTCATGACAGGGCGAATCAAATTTATTTGGTCTCGTGTCGGAAGTCATCCTTGGTTGTTGCATTGTCCAGGTAATCTAAATATCAAAAATAATCATAGTGTTTTAATTTAGAGGTGGTTACAAGCATTTACCTCCACTTATTTTGCATTTAGCAGCTGATTATTTTCATATCTTGATGTGAATCAGTGCATAAACCAGTACCTGAAGTTTTTTAAATATTTTCTAGACTATTGAGAGTATGTATCCAAAGTATAATTGAGGATCATCTTGTACCAGAATCTATCTTCTTTAAAATGACCTTAGACTGTGTGAAGAGCATAATGCGAGTATATTTGAATCTTACTCACGACAATGGTAACTAGATTTTTTATGTATTCATTTACTACCTGGAAAATGATTGAACTCACACTGTATACAATTTTATAGATGGTGAAAGTGAGACCATTGGTCAACAAGCAAGTCTGATCCCAACATTATTGTTATGTGTTTTGCAGGTAAAATTTTCTAATCTTCAAATAAATTTAGTTGATCTCCATTGATTTACTCTCTCAATACCATCTCTTCCAAGGTTCCACAGTTTGTTTCAGCTGAGGAGCAATTTGACATTTTGGTCTTGGTAAATATTCTTGTTCATGAATAAGGTAACAGTACTGCTGTATGATGCAGTGACAACAAGTATTATTGTGTAATTGCAGGCATTGGGTCTATTGATCAATCTGATGGAACATAGCAAACAAAATATCGCCTCACTGGTTGTTTTAAAGACTCGGCTGTCTTATGAGGACTCACAAAACAGTTTGGACTCCATTGAGAGTGGCGATGCTGTGGGTGGAAAAGAAGTCTCTGCTCTTGAGGCATTGGTTAACCTTTTCCAGCTTCGTGAACAGGCTGCGAGGGATGCACTCAAATGTGCAGAAAGTAGGTTGTTTCAAACTCAATATGAGATGACTGCGCTATCTGTAGGTACAGTAGTTTAAAGACATTGGAAGATTTATCAGTTTATGATCAAGCATGTTTCTTCTGTTAGATGGCTCTGATGATGAATTAAAACTTACCCAAGATGGGCTTGGCTGGGTTTGTGGGGAAGACATTGATTTGACAAAAACAGAAGAACCAGATGTTGATAAGAGTTCACAAGAAGATTCTGAAAACACTCAACAACAATCTCTAGAAGACGAGATTGGTTCAAGTTAGTCTTATATGTTCTTATATGTTTAATAAACAATGTTGTTTTGTGAAGTTACTATTCTATTCTCCATTAGGTCTTAAAAAAGCTGGCAAACATATGGAAGACAGTATGGTTGCATCATATGTTGCACTTCTTTTGGGCTGTCTAGCAAAAGACAACAACGTATGTTTATTTTTCTTGCATTTTATTTTGTTTTATTTCCTACCAGTACAATTAATATATCTGTATATTTCTGGTAGAGAGGCATTGCTCACATCTATTTGTTATGGTTTTAGGCTAATCAGAATCTCATTAGACAACTTCTTCCTATGAATAATTTTGATGTACTTATCAACACACTAGAGACATTCTTGAGATTCATGAAATTAACTGTAAGTTTACATTCATTGATTTCCAGTCAGATTTCCTGCTTGACAAAAGATGGTTTGATATCACTTATACACATTACACAGTAACAATTTTTAATTTTTCAGAGTGGTACAACTGGCCAAGCTATTGAAAAAATCATTCATGTGTTGAAGAATTGTTAAGTTGTTCTTGTAAAAGAGTTGTTGTTTGGAAACATGTACTACATCTTCCAATCTGTGGTCAGAAAATTGGAGCATGACTATCTAAGTCATGCTCTAATTTTCTCACCACAGATTGGAAGATTATAAGTACTTTTGCAAGTTTGAGCAGAAAATGTAAAGAGCCTAAACAGATATATAAGAAAATAAAGTTCAAATGAAATCATAACTAAGAACTTACAAGTAAGGTATGTTAAATAATTCAATTAAAGGCAGTGTTTATCTCATGCTTTTTCACAAACTTTGTACATATTAAAACCCGTTATTTATAAATTTCCTTCATTCATTGTTCATCATTTTTAAGCTTTAACCATAAAAAAATTCTAAGAGGTACATTGTCACTTTGTTGAAACATAAATTAGTTGTAAACTCTTTCGATAATTTGTTACCATTATGTAAATAGCGTACAAACAGAATAAAATGCTCAATGCATTGTGTACAATATGCATGTCTTACCCCCAGCTATAAAATCTTAGTAACATAGCATCTAAGCAATGAGTACTATGGTAGGTAAATTATAGGAATCTAAAATATTGTTTCATAATATCTCATGTACTGTACATACATTGCTAGCTTCTATTCCTAGTATGCCTAATGATCTGGGGGTAAGGCCCACCTTTATAGCCCAAAATATTTCCATACTGACTAGGTGTTCTATATGCCATCAAACCCCACTTCTTAGATAGCAAGGAAAGTACTGATTGATCATGACGGTGCTCTCTGAACCCAGGAAAGTTTTGTTTCCCTAATGTATTGCTGATGTCTGTGATTAGCCGTGGATCTGTGGCATATGCCAGCCACTCCATTACAAACTGTAAGGACATGCAGTTCTTTTGATAGAGCATGAATGAAGCTGAACGTTGAAATGTTTGCAATATATTGACATTGTCCATGTTGAAAAGTAGAAAAGCATCTCTTTTAGTAAAATACTGTTCTAGTAAAGTCAAATAGAATATGAGAATCCCATATTGGCTGTCCTCACAAAGTTTGAGCAGTGGACCAGCATCTTTTATGATATAAGCCCCAGAATCCTGATACATAACTATCTCACTATCATTCATATTTTCAACAAGTGTCTTCAATATGATATAAGGTTTCCACAACCAATATCCACGACCTCGTGATTGCTCTAAAATTATTCTATGACTTTTCTTGAATCCAGCACTCACTGAATTTAAATCGTGTATTTTAGTTTTATCAAAACCACCTGGGTAAATAGCACTGAGTACAGCTTTCAACTTTGACTGCTCACAACAATTATCAGCAAAAGTTATAAAATGTTTTGTAACTTTAATGTCCTTTGATTCAGTCATGTTGTATAAACTGATAAAATCATGAATTTTATTTGACATTTTTCTCTCCGAGTTCCAGATCAACAATGATCTTTTCAAATGGGAGGCACTAGCTCCTTGGTAGAATTTCCACAGCGTGTCATTTGTAGTAAAAGGTAGAAAAACTCTCAAGCCATTGAGCATTTTCTTTGCGATATTATGAAGCTGATTGCATCTGTAGTTGTCATTTGTAGTTGCAAAGGTTGGTTTGGAATAGATATAATAGTTTAACAACTGTATACGATTAGTCATCGTGTGATAAAGGATGATAAATGTAGACATTAAAATCAATAAACCAAAACAATATTGCTTACGAGTCGTCGCCATTAAATGCATAGTTCATGACAATTATAATCAATATAAAACATGAATAAGATGGCATCCAATTCAAGGTGTAACTTTTCACGCCAAGGATTGTAGTAACGTACAAAAAAAATAAACTTTTATCATCTCTACGTAAAGTTAAAAATTTTCCAGATATTTCGTATTAAAGGTATTTTCATCCAAGTTAATAGTGGTCACGTGATCCCATTCTGAGCGCGAAAATTGAATTCCCGCGAATTTTAATGTTGCAATTTCACTGGAAGCCAAACAAACTCTCTGCTGCGCCCAAGAAGAAATAAACCAAAACAAATAACAATCTCTTCCAATCTTGGGTTTTAACGGTGAATATTCTTGACAATTTCGAATAAATACGTAGTTTGCGCTACAAGCAATCGAAAGCTATTAATTTCGATTGAAATTGGTACTTTAGTGGCCCAATCTTTCAAACTGAAAAGTACAGTTTAGGGAATTGTGGAAGATCAAACATTACAATATGGCTTCAGTTAGTAACCAAACTTCACAGCTCGTTACTGTTGGCAATCGAGGAAAATTCAACGTGAAATCTCGAAGAAACATAAATGATGCATCGACAAATTCTTTAATTCAACAATCAGCTAAAAGAAGAAAATGTTTGGATGGCAATAAAACACACGATACCCTTGACCGAACTCCTGATGTGAATCATGGCTGCTCTCGTCCAAACATTTTACTGCCACCTCAGGTATATAATATACAATAAATGAAAGGACAAGTATATTAATATCAAAATCAATGTAAAATTTCCAACATTTTAGGCCAAACGAAGACTAAATTGGGAGTCAAAAGACGTAATAACTAACTCAACATTCAAGCCACCAAATTCAAAGCGAAAGTCGCGAGTAAAGACAAAAGATTGCTCTTTAAAAGGTATTTTCTGAAAGCTGTTGCCTAACTCGCTTTTGTAGCTTGAATTTAGTTTAATAATTACTATATGGTACAACGTAGTTTCCTTGGGTCGAAAAGCTTTTTTGTCTATGCAGATTTTTAGGATTACCACGTTTGTTAAGAAATTATTCAAAGACGCTGCCACGCTGCTCCTTGGTTATTTTTTAAATCATTTCTGTCTGACAAAAAAGTTTGAAAAGTAACAGTTTTGCTCACAATATCTGCACAATATATTCTAGGTTTTTAATTCATTTAAGTTGATAATATTGTTGCGAAAGACCCCAGCACTAGCATCGGCATGCAGTGATCTGTGATCAACATGTTGCCTTCCGCAATGATGTGAAACGAAGCACATTTCTTTACATTTACAGTTCTTTAGTATTTCAAACATGCTTTAAAACATGTATTTAAAAATGACCAGTGTTTAAAGCCACTGCTTAAAGTTAGTTGCCGATACTCGATACAGCTCTTTGGGAATTATTGATGGCGAATAATTTTGGGGGGTTTTAAAATGCCCTTTTTTAATTTGGGCAATGTAAATATACTTTGGCTTTTCGGCTGATATGAGACTAGACTATGGCTTTGCAGAAAGAAGATCAACTAAAGGCTTGTGTGCAGTTAAAAATATTCTGTAGCAACAGTCATAACAAGCTGTGATTACACAAGAAATAACCTAGCATGTTGAACAACAGTTCACAGTTACAACCCTGAACCTTGGGTGTGAATTTATACAAGAGGTTAAATCTGCCTGGAATTGCTGTGGTGTCAGTTGAGCTAAAAGTTATGATATAAGATCCAACATGGTCTTTATGGCTACAGCTATTCAGGTCTAACTAGAGGTTTTTTGGTGAAAAGTGTTGTTTGTTTTTCTCAGTAAAATCACCAATTGAGAAAACTCGATATGACACATCTCTTGGACTTCTTACTAAGAAATTTGTTGGCCTCATTCGTGGTTCGTCCTCTGGGATCTTAGATCTTAATGAGGCTGCTGAGCTGCTGGCAGTTCAGAAGCGTCGTATTTATGACATAACAAATGTTTTGGAGGGAATTGGACTTATTCAAAAAAAATCAAAAAACAACATCCAGTGGAGGTAAGTCAAAGGTAAATTAGTTGTTGTATTTTAGGTGTTATACATGGGCAGGGATTTAAAAATGTCTTTTATTTTAAGGGGGTGCCGGAGTGCACTTTTGCATATGAGTGATGGTGAGAACAATGATCACGAGATCTCGCCATTGATTGTGGACCTTCACACAGATGTTGCTGATCTTGAGGCAAAAGAGAACAGATTGGATGATCTTATTTCAGCTTGTCAACAAGACTTCCAGAAACTTACTCAGCCTTGCAATAAATATCCTTCTTATAATCCATTTCTGAGAGCAAACACATAAGGTGTTCAACCTACTGATTTTATTCAGTCCTTATATATAGGAATAGTTTGAAGTAGAATTCTGTTCTTTTCCTTGACTATTCAATACATTTGCATACGTCACATACAAAGATTTTCGCAGTATAAATCAGTTCAATAATCAGACATTAATTGCAATCAGTGCACCCCAAAAAACATGGCTTGAAGTGCCAGATCCAGAAACAGAGGTAAGTTGCATGATTTTGAAAGTAATATTGATTATGGTGTTCTTACTGCTGAGTCTTATTCAGTCAATTTCTTCATTTTATCTCATCTTAGACCATTCAGTTATCTTTGAGAAGTACTAATGGTCCGATAAATGCCTTTCTCTGTCCTGATGATCAACCATCTCCTGATGATCAATCATCTCCTGTGAAGTCAGAATCAGGAAGCTCAACAAGTGATTGCCTTGGAACAAGTGAAGATGAAAGTGTTTCAAACAATGAAACTGTAGACCCTGTCATGTTACCAGTTTACCAAATGCCAGGTGTCAGCTTTCAACAAGAATTAGGAAGTGATTTTGAAAACATTTTAGAAACAGATGAAGAGACGTTGATATCATTTTCACCATTTCATGAGCAGGATAGTGACTATTTTTACAGTCTTACTGAAGAAGAAGGAGTGATGGATTTGTATGATATGTATGATTTAAAGCCATCTTTTCCTCTGGATTTTTAATCTACATGAGCTGAAAATTGATTGTGTAAAGTAACTTATATGTAAACCAGTCTGTGTCCATTGACCAATTCTCTGTTTTTACGCCTAAATGTGTGTTGGTTGAATGTAAAGTTTGGCAAAATAAAACACTGACTAGAGTATGAAGTTTGGAACATATATGTTTGAAATACAGACGAAACCTTAATTAATTCTAATACCTGCATTGTGTAATATAATCTATAGCATAAAATGTAAAAATAAACTTAAGAATTTAGTTTGGGAGCTGGTTTGACGATCTTATGATGGTCTTGCTGTTAATGAACTGTACTTTGGAACGAGAGATGTGAGGGAAAATCAATTGGTAAATATATTTATTGCACTTGAGATTTCTATAATTGATTTCTTAATTCGTATTGTTTCTCATAGTTCATGATTTGTTTGATAAAGACGTCCTAACTCCAATATTCAATCAACTAGTTTCACTTTCGCAGCCTACGCCCATATCATTTTCAGAAGTTGCGAGACGCCATTTAAAAACATTTACCCCTTATTGAGAGGTTCCAATATAACCAAGGAGCAGCGTCTAACAGACTAACACTTCACACAAATGCGGTATAATAACTGCCTAAAATACACAAAACACCTCTACGTTTCGACCTAAGGGCCTTCATCATATTGACCATATTAACTCTTGGTCCTTCGCTCAAGTTCAAAACGTCCAAAAGTATATTTGAAAGTGAAACGTATTTATATTCCTAACATAAAAACGTTAAAAGGGAAATTTCGTTAACGTGTTCACAATTAAATATATGCAAACTCTTCATAAAATATCATTTCACTTTTGGAATTTTATATTATTTACTGAAAAGTCAATTAAAATAAGAAAAATATGGTTTCAACTTTCAAGACTTATATCTCGTTACTCTAAATCTTTTTATCACTATATATTATTGCCTTTATGAAGATGATTATATTGACTTAAGTGACTATTTCATTGTAAAGAAGACCTCTTATTCAAAAGTGTGTCAGTTTCTGGTGACTGGATCTCTGCTTCTGGTAAGCTATCTTCCAGTGAACTTTTCTCAATATCTTGTGTTGTGCGATCAGCCTCAGGTAGACTACCATATCTTCCAACTTTCTCAAATCTTTCTTCCGAGAAATCTTCCCCAGCGTCTTCACCATCATCTGACGTAGAACTGAGGTTGTTATTTAACAACTTCATACACTCTTCAGTGAAGTTATCGCTAACTTTCAGTGTACCTGGTTCGTCATTTCCAGGGATTCCAACCGAAACGGCACTGTTCGATTTTAACATCTCTGAAGAAATAATGCTCAATCGTTGAGGCTCATTTTCTCGGAGTTTTACTTCAACAAAAGGCAGGGATTTTCTGGACTTCTCAGAATTCTTTGGTTTCTCTGAGTTCTCAGAATTCTTAGGATCGTTCCACATAAATAAATTGGTGTTCATAAAGGGTGTGGCATCTTGTTCACCGAAATGTGACATAGGGCGATCACTACCATCGTGTTTTCTCATATAGTTGTTTCGTCTTCTGAGATAATGTATAAGAGCGATAACACTTATTATGGCTATGAGCGCAGCTAGAGTACATGAAACAATTATTGGAACTTTACTTGAAGATTCTTCTTGTGGTTTTTCCTGCGCTGCAACAAAATTTGTGTCGTTTGCATTCCTTGATGGACTTTGGATTGTTCCTGGTTCACTTCTCTTGGTAAAATTTCTATTAACATTAGTTTGTTGTAAGTTTGTTGTTGTTGGACTGGGATAGGGATAACCAAGTATTTTATATGAAAATTTCATTCTCCACTTTGGATTGTTAGTTTTAGACTTGTATTTAATTTTCAGAAATCCATTAGTTGACGTAATCACTCTGCTCTCGTTCTTGCAATATTTCTCCACAAGTGTTCCTTCTTCGTTACCATAGTGAATTATAATCACGTCAGCGACACATTTGGTGCGAAATATTTTAGTGTTATTACTTAAGAAGTAATCCAGGCTTAGTTCTATTGTGTCGTTTTTTTTAGGAGCTGTTATTATCCAACCATAACGATATATATTTGAATAACCAATCTTTGGTTGTACAATTTGCTCTGATGTTGCGTTCAGCGTCCTAACAGCGAAAGCGTTCACGTGTATCTTAAATTCAATATCCGAAGTAGTTGCATTGGAATGATAATGCATCCACATGGTTCCTCCTTCAAGGATGTGAGTGGAGACTCCGCTTGAATGGCCACAAAATGCTTCTTCGAGGTTTTCTTCACTGGTCGGATTTAGTTTCCCGCTATATAATTCCAACAATCCATTTTTACAAAGTAACTTAAAGTGTGAAAATTTTAGCTGAAGTTTTCTCGCATGTTTGGATTCAATTCTCCAAAGACAATTTAGCTCTTCTATGTTTTGCCTCGGGATGGGTGGCGTAATTAATGATGCATCCTGAGCTATCATTCCCCCGCAATTATAAGGACAACCATAGAGTTGAACACTAAAACATGCTTGCGCAGAATAACCAGTTGGGTATATTCTAATACGACGCAGTACGATCCTAGAGTCCAACGTATTATTTTGCACATGAAGTGCGTCCATATTGCCAGGAAATTCATTTAAATAGAACCAAACATCACCATTATAGCTGTATTTTATCCTGAAGTTCTTGACGTAACCATTACCGTGACCTCGTGTTTCGACGCGTGTTAATTGTACGAAATTTTTCATCGCCATTTCGACGAATATTTCAACGTACTTGTTTTTATCTGACACCTGCGACACGCACAACGCTGACGTCTTTGTCGTGTGAACACCAGAATATCTTATATCACGATGATTTACAAGAGAATAAGAACATCTCTTGCATTGACGAGTTCTCTTTGATAAACCTGGGCATTGTTCAGGATTTAACGTTTTACCATCCCGCGCGTCAAGGCACGTTCTGAATCGCGTATGTTGTGTGTCTTCATGAGAACAAGCGCTCCAACTACTCCAGCTTGACCAGGCATTCTGACTGAACGCGAAATGTTGAGTAGTTAGAAAGAACAGAGTAATTCTTATGGCCAAGATCATGATGCTAAAGCGAATTAGCAGAGCGATATCTTCCAATATTAGTATCTATGAGACGAACCTCCAAACATGCACGTCATATATGTATTGCACCCAAGTGAGACAAGTCAGGCTTCGAGACACTTATTGATTAACCTGGCACTTAACCTATCGTCAAGTTCCTGTCACACAGCTTGGGCTGATTAAAGACTAACCTTTGAGGTTAATAGCTATTATTAATTTATTTGTTTTTGATTTATCTTGGGTTCCATGCCGGGAGCATTAATAATATTTACACCCGACAAACACTTTTGGCATCATTTCAAACACAATATTTCCGATTGCTATTTGGCACGCATGCTTATATTCCACGAGAGTATTTTTAATGCAATATGTCTTTAGTAGTTTTGCGACAATCTTTATATTTTACCTAAAATCTCTGTCGAAAAATAAAACATTTTTAAAATCCAAAATCCTGAAAAAATCCTTGGATGGTCTCAGAAGGGTCCTCAGGTGAAGGATTATCTGGTGTTAAAGTCGTATTTCCTATGGTATATATCTGCTTTGAAGGAGAATTAACCAGCCGTGCATGGGAAACAGCAGATGGTAATGTCTATTAATAACGATTACTTTTATCCCAGCATTTTGCTCCCTGATATCAGACTTTATTAATTATCATTTAATACGTCAAGATAATCAGATCATCATGTCTTTTCTAGTCGTTCCCTCACACCATCGCTGAGTGTTTTTCCAAATCAGAAACAATACAATTGAGTTATTTGAATAAGAAGTGCCCACTTAGACCCTAATATGAAGAATGTCATAGTTTTCAAAAACAAACATTGAGTATTCAAGTTCTAAGACTAAGCAACGATTCGTTTAGTTTTAATTAAGCCAGCGTCACTCTTTTTTATTGATATAGCTGTTAGTACTTTCTACATACATGTGACCTAGCTCTACCACTATTGGCAATACGAATCTTTTCGCAACGAAACCAACTAAACCTTGTTTCCATTTAGCATTGCGAGTTTTTACGTAAAATTATGTAATTTGATAATTCTCATTCATTTGAATAAGTGAGTGAGTGAGTGAGAGAAATCCAATATTAATTTTACAACGTAACCACCGAACCGAACTACCGTGCAAATGTATGAATGTAGTGAATTTGCTGTTTCAGGGTTGAAAAAATGACATACTGACTGAGATATTTTACATCAGGAGGAAAGTGTGGATCAGGTAAACTACCTTTTTGTCTACCTTCAAACTTAGCCTACAAATGATATAATTTTAATGATTTTAATTTATTGGATTGTTGTTTTAACCACAACGAGTCAGTTTATGTTTGTGTTATGCTATACTGTATCAATACACATGCTGTTAGTTGCTTGGGATATTAATTTCAGTCGTAAGTTGTAATGCATGGTTCACAGATGACATATGAGAGGTCTTATCAATAGGGTGATATACAACTGGACTGGGTACTTATCAATGGGATGATATACAACTGGAGTGTGAACATGTCAATGGGGTGATATACAACTGGAGTGTGAACTTATCAATTGAGGACATATACAACTGGAGTGTGATTCTATCAGTAAGGTAGGTCTTCTACAAATGGAGTGTGAACTTCTAAGTAAAGATGGTTCCATTAACCATGCTTTGCCTGTCTGGTTAAAGTGTGGTTTGTTTTTTAGGTCATGCATGAAAACAACCGCAAGGTAGGTGTTACTCAACTGTAATGCGAAACTGTAACTGGAAAGGACACTTTCTATTTTTTAATTAATAACTCAAATAAAAATATATCCACCGAAAGCAGCAAATTAATATTATTTTTACATCTGTTATTCCATACCACTTTACCAGGAGGTGATATAACTGGTTGTTTGGTTGAGTTACTGTATCACTAGTGAGTTCATAATGGCCACAAGTTTTAGAAATACATCAGTGACTATTAGTTTGTCTGTTGGATGTGTCAGTGAAGAAGTCATCCTCTTGAAAATTACAAGTTGAGATCTTCAAATCTAAAGAAAATGTAATCATATTTGATATTTCTTATGGACAAAATGTTCATTGACAAAAAATTTCAAAACATTTTTGTCTGAAATACTCAAAATGTGATTGTCCAATGTTTAACACACCTTCTTTTGAATGTTTATCCATAATTCTTTTGATATTTTTAACTTTTGTTTTATCTTTACTGTCACTACTGCATTGGCTAAAATTTGCCTGTGGCAATTGACCAGAATCTACTTTTTCATTAATGCATCTGTGTAATTGTTCTAGTCAAAGAAATTTTGATATCAGTTCAATGTCACATTTTGGTGACGTCTTCCAGTAATCGCATCATTGATCAGAATAAGAAGCAAGGTAAATGGTATGTACCTTGTTCTTCAATCACAGTTTGATTTATGTAAGGCTGAGCAGGAAATAAAGACACATATTTTCTATCACTTGGAAAGTACTAAATATGAAACATTGCAAAATGTTAACAGGAGATTCACAAATTACTTGGTTTTATGTGGGTGATGTGAAAAATTTGTAATCAACATTATGTTGGTGTCTTTAGATGATTAACATTTCAATACCTGTACATAATTAATATCTCTCAAGATTTTATTTAAAATTCTCTGTAACTCCTCAGTTCTGTGAAGAAATGCACAATAGAATGAGTAAAGTTGGAAACACCAATCAGAGTTTGTTATTAACAAAAATTATGATGGGTTCTACCTCTGAGAATTTGGTGAGTCACGAAGTTCTTTCACAACCGAACGATGTTGTCTCCAAAGTTTTCGTTTCTCTTAAAGTGGATTAGGGGTATTAAAAGTTTGCAATTATAACAAGCTAGCATCTTGCCAAACAGAGCATATAAATGTATAACAATAGGACAATTCGGATTTAGGAACTAAGCTGGTATAAAGTAGGATACAGACCAACCTATCCTAGTTTTCTCTTGCCATCAAGGCATACCAACTCTAGTATTATCATATTGGCAAAGTCCATGAGTGACTTGGGTGTTACTGTGTCAGGTAACAATTTAACAAATTTAGATAGAACCAGCTTACTTCTTTATACCTACCAAAAAACTTCACCATTTTATATTTCTTAATCATTTTAGTTTGAGATTCGTTTTTATATTGTTGTTGTTCTTCCAGTTTACTTTGCATGAATTTTAACATTCTCTCTTGTGAAACTCTAACATCTGCGGCTATATCTGGCTACATGAAGTCACGGAATAGTGTTAGAAATCGCTTTCAAAACCGTAGTAATATTTTCTACTAGTATATTACGCATCTTCTTACTTTATTTAGCAGTCGTTTGATGCTTCTAATCCGCTGTTTAATAGATTTTGATGACTTTTTTTTAACCATCACTCTTTTGTCTCGCTGAGGAGCCATTTTGAATTTCTTTTAAGATGAGAGAAACGTCATGTAATACACTATGTAAAGTCGCTGCCAATTTGGAGTTGACCGCGCGGGAACTAGGATTGAAATGATATAGTCATTGGTTATATGGTTATAGTCTCCTATATCTGTTTTTTATTAGTATAAAAGGAGTAATGATGCTGAAGAAAGCAACTGAACCACAATCAATGGAGGTACCATGTTGGCACAGCTTCTGGTCATTCCTTATTAAACCTATGCGGCAATGCCTATTCAAATATCATCAGGAGAACAACATGTAAGAAAGATTATGATTATCAACCACTAGTTGTAACAAAAACTGGCTCGCAAAATAAACGCTATTTTGCATCATATTAGACAGTACCATACAGTACTACACAGTACCATATAGTATTATACAGTACCATACAATACCATACAGTACTATACAGTATCATACAATACTTTACAGTATCATACAATACCATACAGTATCATACAGTACTATATAGTATCATACAGTATCATACAATATCATATAGTATCATACAATATCATACAGTACCATACAGTACCATACAGTATCATACAGAGTATCATAAAGTTTCATACAGTATCATACAATATCATACAGAGGATCATACAGTATCATACAGTATTATACAATATCATACAATATCATACAGTATCATACAATATCATACAATACCATGCAGTAGCATACAATATACAATATCATACAGTATCATACAGTACCATACAATATCATACAGTATCATACAGTACCATACAGTATCATACAGTATCATACAGTACAATACAGTATCATACAATATCATACAGTATCATACAGTATCATACAATATCATACAGTATCATACAGTACCATACAGTACCATACAGTATCATACAGAGTATCATAAAGTTTCATACAGTATCATACAATATCATACAGAGGATCATACAGTATCATACAGTATTATACATTATATAATAACGTAAAGAATTCAAGCAATTTCATTGGTCGAGAGCCATGATCTATAAGAGGACAGACGCACGCAATGACGTCACAGCAATTTTCTTGTTTTTAAATTGCAAACAAATAATTCAATTAATTTTGGATTTTTTTCAGTTTTATTATATAAAACAAATAGATTACAATGAACCGTTGTCTGTTCAGTTATAGATACACGGTATGACGCCATATGTGATAAGAACAAAAGAGTGACCACTCGCCCCGGCGGCTCGTGGCCACTTTTTTTGTTCTTATCACATATGACGTCATACCGTGTATCTATAACTGAACAGACAACGGTTCATTGTAATCTATTTGTTAAATATCATACAATATCATACAGTATCATACAATATCATACAATATCATGCAGTAGCATACAATATACAATATCATACAGTACCATACAATATCATACAGTATCATACAGTACCATACAGTATCATACAGTATCATACAGTACAATACAGTATCATACAGTATCATACAATATCATACAGTATCATACAGTATCATACAATATCATACAGTATCATACAGTACCATACAGTATCATCAGTACCATACAGTACCATACAATATCATAGAGTACCATACAGTATCATACAGTATCATACAGTACCATACAGTACAATACAGTATCATGCACTATCATACAGTATCATATGGTACCATACAGTACCATACAATATCATAGAGTACCATACAGTACCATACAGTATCATACAGTATCATACAGTACCATGCAGTATCATACAGTATCATACAGTATCATACAGTATCATACAGTATCATACAGTACCATACAGTATCATACAGTATCATACAGTATCATACAGTATCATACAGTATCATACAGTACCATACAGTACCATACAGTATCATACAGTACCATACAGTACCATACAGTACCATACAGTATCATACAGTACCATACAGTACCATACAGTACCATACAGTACCATACAGTACTATAAAACTTGATGAGGTTTCCACCAAAATGCAGATTTAACTGTTTTCAGGTTTCATTACTTATTCTTGGATATCCAAATACACATTTGAAAATCGCTTGTTCTTGATGATCAGTGTCTAACTTTACATATTCTACACATAATTTTGTCGAAATATCTCTCCCTCTCAAAGTCTAAAAGTAACCTACCGTTTTTCTGAACTAACGTACATAGACAAATTGTGCTGGGTGAATGAACGCCATTTGTTACAGTAAATTTTTTAGTTTTTTACAAGCAGCGAGGTTTGAAATACGAAACCAACGTGTTTGCCCGGCTTCAGTTGCCTAACACTTGTAATATTATACTAGAACCTTACCAGACATCTGAGGATAAACATTTAATTTGTCAAGAAAATACTTGCTCATAAAATGTATTTCTGGCTGCTTTAAAAAAAATTATGGACTAAACGCGTGTTCTTTATGAGATAACGCGCTGAACTACAAGTAAGCGGTTTCTCATTGCAAAATTTTGAATGAAACAGAACCGGCCATGGTTGAAATACGAGCCTAATGTCGGTTACAAACTGGTTCAAAACTTCAAATTCAATACAAGGGAATGAAGGAAATGCAAAATATTAGGAAATTAAAATGATATGTGTTCAGGATGAGATATTTATTCTATTTTCCTTGTTACAGGTAATTTGAGGATATATAACTGCATGTATGTATTTCGCCAGGATAATTTCAGTCGACGGTATCATGTTTTGACTAGAAACATTTTTATTTTGCAGAGTTTCAGTCTGTCCTTATTTTCTCATGGAACATCTCGCATCTCCAAATCTCCAAATCTCATCTTGCACATGGCCTTATTGAACTTTATCCTCGGTTCCGTTGTGTGGTTTGCGGTTGGCTACACGATGGCTTTTGGTGAGTCACAGAAGGTACGTCTCTGCCTGTATCTTTGATCCCGTATATCATATTAAAAATTCTTTCTATTTTACACACAGGGTGTGATCGGCTCCATGAACCACGCTCTTTTGTTTGACTTAAATGAAGGTGGAATGTATGGTAGTGAAAATAAAACAATGTGTACTGCACCAAGTGCTGGTAATAACGTGGTGATGTTTGAAATGACATTTGCAATATTAGGACCTGCAATGGTATTAATTACATGGTAATGATTGTAAAGTTCATTCACAACAGAATCTCCGAACAAAATTTATCGATTTTATTTTTGCCTGTTATTTTACTATTTTATTATTTTACTATTGTTCCTGCGGTGTCAGGTCGTTAAAATACGTTCGTTATGGTTGTCAAAACAAAGTATACCATAAACATGGATAATCCAGAAATATACTGAATCTTGCAAGATGTGTCATATAACATATAATCTCTGTTACTATAGGTCGGAGTACATTAAACCATCAGGAGCAATGGTAACTGTATTATTCCACAGTTGATACTATGAAGTTATCATGTTCTGTATTCGCTCACTCAGTTTTGTGGATTTCTTTTTAATTTCAAGCTTCTTATGATTCTGTGGCCATTATTCATTTATTACCCACTGGCTCATTGGATACGAGGCAATGGTTGGTTATCCAATACCGTCATTGATATTGCCGGAGGTTTGACGTTGTATACCACAGCAGGTAGGCTCAGTGTTTTGACAGCTTTAACTTCCTTTGATAACAGAACAAAAAACATTCAAATTTCTATACAATTAAGTTGTTGCTATTAAAAAAAGACGGAAGAAATGTTGATATCGTTTCTTCATTTAAGGTGCTTCGCATTTTCTTCTGACCATTATAACAAAACGGAAGTATCCAAATTTGGAGAAGTTTTCTCTGGTGGATCAGTACCTAGAAGAAAAAACCAAATCTAGGAATTTCATCTTTGTATTTCTTGGAAGTTTACTTACAACAACGGGATGGTAAGTGGTGCTGAAATTCGAGTTATGGTCTACGCATTTTGAACAAAAAGTTTTTTCCTCACACAGGTTTTGTCTGAATATTGGATCAGAGAAGGCTGTTGATAATAGTTTGGTCCTCTTAAACACTCATCTTACTGCGATTTCTTCAGCTGCGTCATGGGTCATGATTGGTTTTATCTACACGGGTCAATCATCAGTCGTTGATCTTCTTTACGGTCTGATGGCAGGTTTAGCAGGTTATTTCTATTTTCTAAAATGAAGTATAATTTTTCGTGAATTAATCTAAATGACGAGGATCGCGAAGAGAGAACAGAGACGTTTAATTTTCCTTTTATTTGTTCCAGGTTCGTCCTCGTACTGTGGGCTCGTGGAACCGTGGAGCTCAGCGCTTATTGGCTGCGTTATTGGTTTACTATCTCACGGGACATTTATTCTAGTGAAAAAACACGTGACTTTATGTTTCAGAGAAAATTGCGTGGATGGAACTTTTGTATTTGGTATTCCAGGAATGATCGGTGGCATTGCGGGTATGTGTAATTTCCCTGTCATTTGCACGACCATATTGATAGTCTCATTAATCACGCAACATCTCGTCTTTTTTAGCTGGTTTGTTTTCAAAAAGATATAATGCTCAAGAAATGATTGGTTTGAACGGAGCTTTTTATTCCAATCCAATTCAGCTTCCTTATCAATTTCTTGGCATTGTTGTAGTGATTTCTTGGTCTTCCCTGTGGACTTTAATTTTAGTTAATTTCATTCACTCGACGGTGGGATTGTTCATTCTTGGATGTCCTGAGGATAAAGAGCGTCATGTCTCCAGAATTCATCTTCTTAACAATAAAGAAAGTTTTCTGAAGAAAGAACTTTTCAAGGCAGCCAAAAATGGAGATTTGCAGCAACTTCAAGAATTGAAAAAAGTATTTGCAGTCGAATTTGGATTGAAAGATTTTCATAAAAAAACAGCGTTGTAAGTTGTACCACATCTAATTTACAAAGAGTCAAAATTTTTAAATGCACGTCGTTTATATTTTTATCCTGTTTTATTTACCCTCTTTTTATACAATTGTAGACATTACACTTCAAAGAACGGTGACTATGTTTGCACACAGTTTCTCTTAAAACAAAGTGATGTTGATATCCACGCTAAAGACAGATATGGAGTGACACCATTATCAGAGGCTGTAAGGAAACATAGAAATGACGTAATTGTCTTATTGTTAGATAATGGTGCCAGTTGGTTGATGGATGGCATTGGAGAGTTATTGTGTTCATATGTTGGTAGGTATACCAATCATGTTGGTTTAACATTAAATGATGGTAAATGAAATCAATGTTAATATTTCTTTACTTGATCACGATCATGGTTTGTTTTTAGAGTCAGGAATGATTGAAGAAGTGCGCAGACTTCATAGTTTAGGAATGGACTTGAACTCGTCAGATTCTCATGGAAGAACAGCCCTGCACGTTGCGGTCAGTCGGGGAAATGGATTAATGGTAGAATGCTTGATCGCTTTCAATGTTCAATTGAACAAAATTGATTGCTTTGGATACCGTCCGTTAAATGTAAGTTTGAATTTTTTATCTCACTGGCCTGTTGGTCGTATGGTCGTTGGAAAATGTGATTATCCCACTTATAGTATGCTGAAATGCATGAGAATAAAGCTATCAGTGAAATATTGATTCGCTATGGAGCATTGAGAGTGACCCAGAAGAACAGTCAACAAGAAATCTGTCAAGAAGCAAGCAATGGAAATTTGAGGGCGATTAAACACATGGTTAATAATGGCGTCAACGTTTCTTACCAGGATGTAGACGGAAAAACTGCGCTGTAAGATTCAGTTCTGAACTCGTCTTTATGGGTTAGTATGCCATCGTATCATGTTATCAAAATATTTTATTTAGACATGTAAGTTGTAAAAGTGGCCAACTTGACGTCGTAAAATTCTTGATAAATCAACCAGGAATAAACGTTAATGCAACAGACAGGAAGAACAACACGCCGTTAACAGGTTTGGATTAAATAGTTGTACATTCATACACACGGATGGAGTTTGGAAGGGTTAACCTAAAACATTTTTGTTTTGTTTTACTGACAGAAGCAGTTGTTAACATGCATAACGATGTTGCTGAATACCTTCAGTTACATGGAGGCGAAATAGAAGAACAACGTATGATGCATTTAATATGCAAGGCAGTTAAGAACCAAGATAAACGTTTAGTTAAACACTTATTACAGTGGTTCCATGGTTCGAAAGTTACTGATCTAGATGGACAATCAGTATGTCATGTGTGTGTTAGAAATGGGGATGTTGATATGCTTGAAACACTACTCAAGGCTGGAATTAGTAAGAGAAAACAGTCGATGATGATTTGCCTAAAAATAAAAATTCATATTCACTTTTAGTTCTTTTTTTCATCCGTGTTAGGCTTCAGAGAGGTGGATTTCTTTGGGAACACCCCGTTGGCGTTGGCACTTCAAATAAAATGTGACCGTTCAATGATAAAAATTCTAGCAGAGATTGAAGAGGTAGACTCAGTCGTTCCTTAAGTTCGTTTCAACTTGTTACAATATTAGCTTGATAATTTTCAATTTGTTTTGGTCTGAAATAACAGTTTTTTTTTAAGGGCTGGGCAAATAAAGTTCGTGGTCTTCGAGTTAGCGTAAAAATACCACGGATTGAAGTTCCAAGCAAATCAAAGATCCGTCGTAGGCGAACTAGAAGACAAACCCGGGTTGAGGTTGCTAGTGGAGATTTTAGTGATGCAACCATACCAGAATTCACGAAATCTTACCTGCAAGAAGCATGTGATAATCACATGAGGAATTGTATTGAAAATGAAATAAAATGTAATGACAGGATGGAAGATGGGCGTATCGGAGCTACAACTGCAGAGGAAGTTACCTTAGCAGATATTGAATTAATGAACCGCCAGAGAAAATTGAATACATCAAGGATATCAGATATCATCACTGGAGAACCACAATACGTCTAATGTTCCATATTATGTAAAAAAACCAGACAACAGTGCATTATTTTCACGGGAAACGTTTAGATGTGCGAACTTTAGGTCCCATGATCCGTTTTAATGTTTTAATGACGTATCTTAATTAGGCTAATGTAGCAATTAGACGCATTCCATATGGCTATTTTGATCAAGCTAAGGTTCCAAAAGGCCCTGGGGACGAGATTGAAAGCCCCTTGAAATCAGTGCTTGAAATTATTAACCAATCAGATTAAATGATTAAATAAACATGACACTGATAATTTATATAAACATTCCGAAGTCACGAGTTTATCATAAGACTGGTGAATGAAATTGGAAGAGTGTTATCTGAGTTAAGGATATTGTTAAGATGTTCTTGAAAGCTTTTTCGTTTATCTTTTTGACCACAGTATGTTGTTCAGCACACGAACATGTTCCTGTACATTTTCAACCTCTTTCAGAGGAAATTATTAACTACATCAACAGTCTTCAAACTACATGGAAAGCAGGAAAAAATCTCCCAGGAGCTTCAACACCATATCTCAAAGGCTTGCTTGGCACTATATTAAACGATCCTAATGCATTAAAACTTCCAGGTTTGTTTAATGCGTCATTTCACAGATATATATATTGAACTCCCATTCAAACGTCAAGCATATGGTATGAATATTTAACGAAGCTATTTTAAAGGATATAATATAAGTTATATAGCGATATTACTTGCAAGATAAGCATCGAAAAACTAAGTGTTCAGACTTCTGCATTCAAACATAGTTAATATGATTCAACCAGCAGATATTAATTCACCCCAATATTCTCATTTTCATCCGAAATTGGTAATTTCTGTCTTTAGAGTATGTTCACATGACCCAAGAAATGGAAATTCCTGATGAATTTAACAGTATAGATGAGTGGGGAAAGATATGCCCAAGTTTGACAGAGATTCGTGATCAAGGATCTTGTGGAAGTTGCTGGGTATGTCGTGTAAAAATTCGAGAATGCCAGGGGTTTTATATTTTCTTGTTCTGGGATGGTCCAATTTATAGTCTAATGCTGTGTTGGAAATGAGGGAAGTTCTATGCAGTATCAGTATTTGCTTACAATTGGCTTCCTGTAAAGTGCTGGCTTGGTCAGTCAATTCCCCCGACTGCCCAACAGGTCTTGGATAATAGCAGAATAATGAGTACCATAGGAATACTAACCCTTCATTTAACATATAATTAAGGCTTTTGGTGCTGTTGAGGCAATGACAGATCGTATTTGCATTCATTCACAAGGAAAAACAAAAGCTCACTTGTCTGCAGAAGATCTTGCCACCTGCTGTAGCTCTTGTGGAATGGGGTAAATCATTGCCATTTTGTTATGAATTAATATTTTATTTTTTAATTTAAAATTTTTTGTGTATGTTTTTCAGATGTAATGGTGGATATCCGATGGCTGCTTTTGGTAGGTATTGCAGCTTGCAAAAAGAAGATTTGCTCGTTCTGAAAAAACTGTCTGTTAATCCCTAATACTGCATAAGAGAAGAGTTTAAAATGAATGAAGCTATGAAATTAATATAAGTAATTTAGGTTTCCTTCTGTAGTAATAGTCTGGATCAATAAGAGGCAGTCCTTACTTGACCTTTAGGAAGACAAGTTTAAAAGTAATAGAGCTATAGAGTATAAATAAAGTTAGTTTAGTTTAGGTTTCCTCCTGTAGTAACACTGGATCAATAAGAGATGATCCTTATTGGACCTCTAGGATGAACAGTTTAAAACTGATGGAGCTATCCAGTATAAATAAAGTTAGTTTAGTTTAGGTTTCCTCCTGTAGTAACACTGGATCAATAAGAGATGATCCTTATTGGACCTCTAGGATGAACAGTTTAAAACTGATGGAGCTATACAGTATATAATTTAGTTGAGATTTCCTTCTATACAATCAAGTTGTAACTGCATGGTAGAGAAAATTAAATGTAGCTCTATGTATTTTTTGTTGGAATACCGACTAGGGATTACTGGAAACACACAGGAATTGTAACTGGAGGTCAGTACAACAGCAGTGAAGGATGCCAGCCATACAAGATCCCAGCTTGTGATCATCACGTCAAGGGAAAACTTAAACCATGTGGCTCAATCTTGCCAACACCACCATGCAAGAAGGAGTGTATTCCAGGTATGAGAGATTTTTAATATTTAAATTTTGTGTCCTTCAGTCTGCATTGAATGTGTTGTACATCTTCAGGATACAGTATAGCATATGAGGAAGATAAGCACTATGGAAAAACTGCATATTCTGTCATGAGTGCTCCTGAACAAATCCAAACTGAAATCCAAAAAAATGGACCAGTTGAAGCAGCATTCACAGTTTACGCTGATTTCCCTAGTTATAAATCAGGTAATAAATGTGTCTTGCACACCTCACAATTTGAGGCCTAAATTACATAATATAAAATTTCAGTAACTCAAGTGATTTCTAGCCAAGTTTGGTTCATTTCTTTAATAGTTTTGATATCTTAAGGTGTTTATCAGCACAAGGCAGGTGCAGCACTTGGTGGGCATGCAGTGAAGATTCTTGGGTGGGGAGTTGATGATGGAACCCCATATTGGTAAGATTATACTAGATCAACTCAATTTATGTTCAAAAATGCATCACAATAATTTCATGGTAATCATCCCAATAGCAATTCAATGAATTTTATTTCTGTAGGCTTGTTGCCAACTCCTGGAATCCAGACTGGGGGGATAAAGGTATTTATTAAGCTTTTTTCACATAGATCGAAATTCAAATGGTTTAATGCTTTCATGACTAAAATTTATATTGCAAACCAGACCAAATTGAGCACTTGACCCTGTAAATGTTGTGTATTTTTAATGTGATTGGCACTTAGGATTCTTCAAGATTCTTCGTGGGAATGATGAGTGTGGAATTGAGAGTGGTATTGTAGCTGGGATGCCGCTTTATAAATAAAACTCAACACCTTCAACTGGGAACTTTATTATTTGTATTTTGTAATTAGTAACATTCAATTTTCATTTAGTTGGTAAATAAAATTATGATTTTCGAGTAGAATTTCTCAAATCTGTATTTTTAGCAAGTGCCAAAGACCATTGTTTTACCACGTTGTATCAATTGTTTTTCCGATACCCATGGCGGATTAAAGCTGTTTAAAAATTCTTCAACGCCCCTAGTTGTTTTTCTCTCGCTAAATAAGCTTTCTTCAACAAAAGAAGGAATAAATTTTGCAAAACTACGACCATAGATTATAGATATAATAGAACTACGACTTCGTAAAACATTTGACATTTCGACTTTGTTTGTTTACTTTTGTTTGGGTTCCGCTTTCCGATGATGAGCCTGCGATAATAAAAGAATATTTTGAAAATACTACATTTTAGTGATTTTACTCATCCCGTCTACTATTATATTCAGATTCATTGTGTATTATATTCATTATATATCTGTTGCTTCTAAGACATGCCATTAAAAACCTGGTGAATGAAAGTGAACACAATAAATAGAAAGAAATTGTAATAGAATCTGTATTAAAGTAACCTTTCTTACATGACGTATCCTCGATTTCGGTCTTTTGGACTCAGGCTTCCCGTGTTGCGCGGACGAACGTTGGCTGCACGTTTTTAAAACATGGAAAAAGTTGAGAAGTATTAAATACAAGTATTAAAATGGTCTGTAAAATGAATTGTTTTAACTCCGAAAGCTAATGCGACGGCCTGGAGATGCCCAATACATCATAGAGTAGCTTTTGGCGGTCATGGAGGATAAATACTGCAGTCGATGTGAAAAGAAGGGGTTGAAAAGTAAACTAAAATTCCAATACTGCAATTTTGAGGAAGGTATTTTTTTATGTGAAGACGACATGGTAAGAAAAGTATTAAATATTCTTTGCTGTACAGCTTTAGACAGTTACTACGCTTTATATGCCACGTCTACAAACTAAAAATTAGCTTTAATTTCAACTAAATTTTGGGATTTTATGGAAGAATCTCCCTTGGCTACAAATCAATTCCACACCTCACACCTGTAGTTGCCAGTCTAGCTAATAATGGCAATTAAAAATTTACAGGCAAATTGAACTGCTCAATGCTTCAAATTAAACGCGGTTAAAAAGATTATGTATTTTATGCCTAAAACATACCTGTGAAAGTTCTGAATGCATCAACCAAACACTCCAAAGTCCAAACAGTAAAAAATTGAGCTACATAAAAAATTAGATTAATTATGATATTTGGCACTTCACTCGATGTAGGTAAATTCTAGAGGTTTAAAGGGTCTTAATTTCGAGTGGAATTATACACACTTCAAATTTAAGCCAAGAACAGTTGATGGGAAACAGTTGAATCATTTTTCTATCAACTGTTCTTGGCTTGAATTTGAACTTTGAAGTGTGTATAATATTCCACTTTAAACCTCTAGAATTTACATAAAAGCATTATACACATATAAACATTAACAAAGGTTGGTGTTTTGAAGAGTTTTCGTATCATCAGTTGGAAACAGTGTTGGATTCAGATGCTTCTAAAGTCTTTTTATTTCTTTTACAAATCAAATTAAGCTTCTAGATTTGTAAATATTTAAATTTTTTTATTTGATGTTAGAACAGTTAATGGATAGAGGGTATTGTTATCAATAAGTTAAAAAGTGAAATCATTTTATTAAAGTTAGTTAGTTAGTAACAGCAAGGTACATAAGAACACAATACTATAAGTTCTCACCTTTGCATCTGATGAAAAGTGAAACTCTACACAAAGGGAGGGGTTTGATAAGTGTTATAAGTTGTGTTACTCAAGGAGAAACTGGTTTCTGCTTCCAGTTGCCAGCTCATTATTTGTTAAATCAACATAGAAGATAGGAAATATTTTGTTAATTTCACCTACATATGCTTATTTCTATAGCAACAGGCTGAGAGGGATATGCTTAAACTTCCAATCATAACTTTGGTGTACTTTTACTGGTCTTTGATGACAGTATCCATGATGGTTACATTAAACATGTGTTGTGCAAGGATATTTGATGGTTTCTTTTTCAATTCATAGTATATTCTTGATTGTAAGTTAATTTTGCACTGAATATCCCCAAAACCCTGTATTTTTAATCGTGGAAAATTATCGAAAAGGAGGAAATTATAATCAGATATCTTTACGACATTCAGTGAAATATGAATTGTGTCACATACTGCTTGTTCGGTATCTTGCATGATATACATTTCTAAAAATAAATGTATTCCTCAGATTATAATCAAAACTGCATTTACAGAATAAGCAATGTTTTTTATGTCATACACACAAATGATTTCACTTATTAAAACTTTTGATAAACTGCTTTTGCTCCAAACATCCTAGTGCAGATTTCTGTATCACATATAAGGAAGAGATGAGCAAACTTTGTCAGTCAGTTGTATAGGAGTTAAAATACACAATTGAACTGGTTAATACATGAATGGTTGTGTGGTAAGTATGTGATCGTAAAGTTGGATCTTGTTTGGATTTGGGTGTTATTATGTAAGTGTGGGGTATACAGCAGCTGTGATAAACATTAGAGGCTTTTGGCCTTCCCAAAGGTTTAGTAGAGGGCTGACAATTTTTACCTTGTCACAACAGCAGATGGGGACAGTGTGGACTTTTTTCTAAGAGAGGCACTTGTATTGTGCCAAATGGACTAGTCATAGGCTTATATATGTATTTTTAATATTGTTTCAGTGTATATATCCATTTGGTGAAGACAACATTGCTGGGTTTTTTATCAAGGCACCAGGATCTGATGTGGTTACAGAGAAACAAGATTGGAAAACTGAGTTTAAATCATTTGAGAATACTTCAACAATACATGTAAGTTGCAAATGAATGTTAGGGATTCAGAAACATTCTGAGAACAAAATGAGAGGAATTTTGTGGATGGGTAGTTTTGTAATGGCACAAACGAAAAAGTGTTTTGAAATCATCAGCAATTGAACTTTGAACTGGTTGCTTGCATTTCCTGGAATTTAATTTCTTTGTTCCTTTTAGTTACCATCAAATATCCAAACATCCCAATTCTATTGGTTGAATTCAGAAAACCTTTGCTGGCTGGATTCTGTCATGACTATCCTTGTAAACAACAGATGTTTAGAACTTTGCCTCAAGAAACAACAAGTAAAGAATTCCATTCTACAACAACTTTTCTCAAAATTTTTTAAAGCCCAAAGGCTTGGCCCAAAACAAGAAGGCAAAGATGTCCTTTGCGAAGTGCGGAGAGATGTATTTCATTATCTGCAAGAAAAAATGCAATGTTCAATGGGAGTGAAAGATAGTGCCTTGGTGTCATTAAATGTTTTGCTGAACGATTGTTCCGTTATTAGTGAAAAATTTAATCAAGAATGTGAATGGACTTTTAAATGTTCCTCATGTGGTCACATGCAAGTCAATAGGTAAGAGTATTTAAAGTCTGTTCTTACGAGCAGTCTAGTAATTTGAAAAGATTCTGGGTTGTTCTATCCCCTCAATTACATCTCTGTTTTAATTTGCAGATATAACAAGTTGGTTGTCACATTTCCAAATACAACTGATGATTTTTCAATGCCATGCGGAGAGTTTTTAAGATTGTGTCACAAGTGCAAGTCTCCTGGTCAAAGAAGTCAACTTCACCTTACACGGTAATGTCTCTGCAAAGTTATATCAACAGTATTGTGAATTGTGATTAATCATTAAATTAATTCTAAGTCAGGCAATATTATTAATAACATGGTTTATGTTTCATTTGTTTTTTTATTGACTTTCTCATTTCATTTGAAGGTTACCTCCGTGTGTGATCGCACATTTTACAGAAGGAGTGAAAAGCAAAAATTTCTTTGAGTCTGGTTTTGTTTGTTATGGAAAGGAGTACAAGCTGTGTCAAATGATTCAGTACAAGAGAGACCCGGATCATTTTATCGCCTGGGTTCGAAATCGAAATGGTATGTGTTATTATTTTTAACTCTTCAACACACCAATGCAATTGGTTTACAAAAAGTGTTTCCTAGTTTAAACAGTCTGTAATAGAAGAGGTTGATGGCCATGGTCCACAGGCCAGTAATATATGATTAAGAGATTTATGGTACTTTTAGCAACCGGTTTGAAGGAAATCGGTTAAATAGAATAAATCGGTTAATAGTTTTAATTAATAGAACTGGTGACAGTGCTGAAAGATGAAGGAAAACTTGCGTTGAACAAATTGTTGCAAATTGACAATCTTGGCAAGATCTTATCATAAGATAGGTTTTGACCTAATTTTGAGTAGATGTCATGTGCAATTTAGCAAAATTTGCTCACTTCCACAAGGCATAATTCGGCAATATGTGTGAAGTTGACCACCAAGTATTTCGCTATGTATGTAAGATCTTATCAAAATCATGCAAGATCCTGTAAAGATTTTACCATGATCTTGCCACAATCTTACCACAATCTTACCATGATCTTGCCAAGACCTTGGCAAGATCCTGAAAAACCATGGCAAGTTCTGCAAAACCATGGCATGTTCCTGGTCAACCATGGAAGATTTTAAAAAGATCCTGCAAAACCTTGGCATGGTGATGCAAAATGTTTAGATCTAGATTGATTAGGGAAAAAACATAGATATAATACTCTGTTGTAGTAAAAAAACTTTATTAACGTTTGGTTAGATTAAGGGCATGCTCCATGTTTTTATTTATATGCTAAAATTTTAAATTGTAGTATTGCTTTGTTACTGTTCTGTTTTATCATCTGTGGTGTTTATTACATCGCTTCTTGTTTCCTTCTTTTTCTTACTTCATTTTTCTACGTTTGTGAAGCATCCATGATCACCTTGTGTGAGTGTGACTTTTTTCCTTGCCAAACTTGATATTGAGTACATCTCAATGTTAAAAAAAGATTGTCTTATAAAAAATAGTACCATATTTTACCCTGTGTCTAAGGCCTTGCCATGAAGTTAGGTAAGTTTATTGGACACATGCATTGATCAGCATAATATAACTTCTTACCAAAGAGTTTAGTGAGTGTTTTGGCATCCAAATGTTGCTTGTTGTCGAGTTGCTGGACTCTGTTACATAGGATTCTATCCTGTATCTGAGCTTCAGCCTTCATGCAGTGAAGATGTGGCTCAGCAATTTGATTGCGCACTTTGATGGCTTTGATATTCATCAAGTTAATACGGTTTTGCCACTAGAAGAATAATTGAACATTAAAATCATGATGCCTGGCCATAATAGATCATTTTTTTAATAATCTATGCCCTATTTTGTTACCACCTCTCTGCTCTTATATTTTTTGATTTTAGAGCGAGTCTTCTTCCCTATGAAATTTTTTGTGAATTTCCCGTAATTATGTAAACCTACGAATATTCATTATGCATCCAATGAAAAGCAGGGAGTGCTCGTAAAACAGTAAAGACTTTGTTTGAATGAGAATCCCATCTAGCCAACGCTAAACTACCGTTTGTTGCATGTATACGTGGGTTTTCTCAAGACTAATACATAGCGAAATACTTGGTGGTCAACTTCACACATATTGCCGAATTATGCCTTGTGGAAGTGAGCAAATTTCGCTAAATTGCACATGACATCTACTCAACATTAGGTCAAAACCTACAATGAATATTTTACTTGATTTAATAAATATTTTTCCATCTGGAGTCGACCAACTAGTGTTTCCATCTGTCACGTGACTGAAACCCAGCTATTGCAAGATCATACCAAGATCTTAGCAAAATTTAATGAACTTCAATGTTTGAAAGAACAATAGCTTGTTTCCATGAGAGTTGCCAAGATCTTACTATTTGCAAGATCTTGGCAGGATTATTCAAGAATCAAGATCTTGAAAAGATCGTCAACCTGGGAAATCACGTGAAAATTCTGTTTAAAAGAAAAACTGACGAGTCGTTGTTTTCTTGAGAAATGGAACTTTGAATAAGGAATGTTTCGTATGAAGATCTTTAATTTTTATTTCCATCTTTTTCTAGGCACGCATTGGGCGGAAATCGATGACACGCGGAGTGTTGTTTGTAAATGGGAAGAGGGTCCCCCTTCTTTTTCTCCTGGTCAAGTGCACATCGCTGTTTGGGAGCGTGCAAAGTTATACGTGAGTAAGTCGTCCGCCGTGCGTATAATTGATGGGAAACTTTTGGGAAAGTCAAAGACTGTGTTGGAAAATCCTAAGAATAACGATGCTTTAGCTGTCAATGTGGACAATGCAGAATCTTCTTTAGCTTTCTGCAAAAAAGACAAATTGAGTGAGTTTTGTTGCAGAAACCCAGTCGCTTCTATTTGCCATAAAAAGTTTCCTGAAAACGTGATTGATGGACAGATGAATTTGGTTTCATTGTGCGATAACGTTTCCTTAGATAACATTCGTTCCAATCCTCTTAAATTACAAGAACAAAAAAAGGAGAAAAATGATGATGAAATGAAAGAAGTATCGTTTAACGAAAGTAATTCCGTAAAAAAGGCTTGTGAGGATTACAATAACCGCAAAAGAAAGGACAGTTTTCCACCGTATATACCTAAAAGGAAAAGGATTTCACCGGGCAAGGATTCTTCCGACAGAAATACAGAAGCAAGATTTTGTCACAACCCAAGTGACAGTGGTTATTCAAGTCCCGGCTCAAACGGTTCAGGTGCGAGTCTTCCATCAACTCTTGAATCTAAGGAAGCAAACTTAGTTCTTACTGATCTACTTGAAACACTTGACGATATTGATGGTGGTCTGGATGGTGGCCATTCGCTAGATGTAAATAGTGCAAAAGAATCTGGTAGTAATTTGGATTCCCAGAAATCAATTTTGTGTTGTGGACAAAATATGACAAAAAAGTCTACATTAAATTCCGACTTAAAAATGCCAACGTGTATTTCAAATATGAACATTGATTTTTGTGAAGATTTTTCTGTCGAAGAAAAATTGGTGGTGAAAGACGAGGATCTGAAAAGATCAGTCGAGTCTTCCGGTGACTTTGTCGATTTTGGGACAGTCTCAGACTGTGAAAACAATTTTCTGAACGACATTGAAGCTTCGCTCAATTTGACTGACATAAAGATAAACGATGTGGCCGAGCTGTTGCCTTGCGATGATAGATTGACAAAGAACAGATGGAACGAAGATCATTATTTTTTTGATATTTTGAATGAAGTATTCCCCAATAACTTGCTGGGTAAAGAGACCAGCAAACCTAATTCCATCATCGAAGAAAAGGGTTAGGTGAAGCAGTCTGTTGAATATTACATAAAATTCAACATAATATATTGCATAAAAAAATTACGTAATAGGTCGTAATAATACGACTATATTCCTACCTCGCAAGCAAAAGTAGATCCAAAGCTGGATTATCGCCTTCATTGTCGCTGCAATCATGCTCTTCAAAGTATAAAGAAGTCATTTTCTTAGTCTGTTGTGTGTTATAATATCTAAAATACTATGTTAAAGTTTTCGTTTAAATTTATATTATTTTTCACTACTTGCGTAATAAACATTTGAATATTATCCAGCTGTCCAGTGTATATTAAGGCCTATGCTTGTTCTCATGATTATTTACATGGAGAAAGAATCAAATAAATCACTATCACAATCAATTTTAAATACAATAACTAATTACCTGAAAAATATTGAATGTATTGAAAATATTGATCGTTTTAGAATTTAGACATGCAGTATCAATAATATAAAATTGTACGGTAAATTGTGCACAAATCAGGGGGGGGCATTCGGCACGCCCAGTACGCGGAAAACCTGGGAACGAGGATAGATTTCGGAGAAGAAAGGCGAAAGAAGGAAAGCCCGGAAAATTTTTAATTTTCTATGTTTTAAAGAGAAACTATAAAGTTATTTTAATGAAGTGAAGCTTGTTGAGAAAAGGATATTCCGATTATAAGTTTATCTAGATATATATCTCATAAGCGTATGTTTTTTGTTTGCTGCCTTTTTTAATATGACTTCGTCCTCGCGCATCGAATGTTGGAATTTTCTGAATATTTTTTCGGTCGATTTCTTTCGCATTAGTTCAACGTTTTAGAGTAAGAATGTTTTGTTATGCCCAAGCATTTATTTCACGTAAATGACGTTCATTTGTTCTGCTTTGTTAGATTAAAAGTCCAGCGAGAAATGAAGTGAAAGGCGATTTGAAAACCACGAGGTAAGGCAGTAAGCCGCCATTTTATTAAATTTTCGTACTTTTTTTTAATAGTGTGTTGTTTTTGTTTTATTTTAACATTCCATGCCCCAACCGAACACTTCAGTAAGGGTGCAGTAGTTTTAAGAAAGATTTGTGGTTTAATTTTATTAAAAAATCCGCCTTCACTCGAGAGGCGAGAGGAATGGCGAATCATTTCAGACCATGTATTCGGTGTTTGACATAATTGTGGGATATGTGTTGCCAAATTAGTTTGTATTTTGAAACATTCAATTAAGTGCTGAGAAAAGAAATGGAAAACTACTCTTTAAAGCCCTTTTTGTTTTTGCCAAGGCAGGTTGATGCATGTAGTTTGATATATGGGAGGGGTCAGCGCCATTTAGTAGCCTTAGAATGAGGGGAAGTAGAATGGTTTAAACGTTGATTCAATGTTGTTTTATCAGAGTCTGCTGTTAATATTTTGTGTTTCAGATTGTTTTTGCCAATGTTTTGATCTGAGGGTTTAAAGAACCACTTTTACAATATTGGAGATATGTAGTGGAATAAATGCCTGGAAAGACAATTATTGTCTGACAATATAAACTATAAATTGAAACCGGAATGCAATGATAAGAAAGGGAAATGTGGAATAAATGCCTGGAAAGACAATATGAACTATAATTTGAAACTGGAATTCAATGATAAGAAAGGGAAATAAACTATTGCTAAAGCTAAAGAACCACTGAAGCTGAAGAATTGAGATACAACAATCTTTGACTGACTTTAGGTGTAAGACGTTCGCCCAGCTATTGTAGACCGCATGGAATCGATTCAAGTCCTTTAAAAATTTGTGAATCAAGATGAGAATGAACTTAGTGAATCTGTAATTGCTGCTATATGTTTTGGCTAAAATATAAAAAAAAACTGTTGTATGTCTCCAAAACAAAGGAGCTTATATTTATACCAAAAAGTACAGGATTGTTTGACATCAGAAATACAAAGAATTCGGCACACAGAGACAATTCACCTTTTAAAACGAAACCAAAAAACTAGAAGCAAAAAACAAATTGTGCTTCAAAACAAAACTAGAATGCACTGCTTTTAAAAGGTTGAAATATAGGAAAGGACAACTTTTTTCTAGGCGTTTAGTGATTCGTTTAAAGTAACATCGCTCACGATGATGTTCGGAGTTGATCGGCATGTTGTCGTACATTATCATACCACGTGATCTGCTAAGATCACATGGTAATTATTGCTTATAAAACTAATCTCAACGTTAAAAAAAAATTTCTTCGAATAGGTGGCGATCGAAGGTGGACAGCAAGATCGAAGCTCAGCAAGATTGAAGATTGTTCGAGGAAGAAGGAGTTCGCCGTTGACTAAAAGGTGGGTTCCGGCGATTATATGCGTAATCTGCGTTGCTTGCTTTGTCCGACCCCAGTAGGGGGACCGTTTGCCTAGAGCGTTTTGGTCCCCCGCACGCTGCTAGTTGACTAGTTCCCACTGTAGGCCTTTACACTAATCTACGGGAAGGCCGTAGGCCTTCCTTAAGGAGTACAGTGTAGCTGAGCCGAACCCTTTTTTTTCGTTGTATATAGGTTTATCTGAACAGCTAGTTGTCAAGATGAATGCGAAGACTCGCCCGGCCAAATTCAAAATGGCGATGCCAAAGAAAACCATCCACGTGGACCGTTCGCGGACCTTTCTGAGCAAGATTGTTGTGCTGTCTGGTCAAAGTTAAGTATTTTACTTTGATGTTTGTGTGCCTTCGGCTAATTGTTGGCCAGAAATGACAAAAAGCCATATACAATATGAAATATTCTGCGTACAAGGTTATCTAAAGTTTCGAACTTAATTCTGCCTGCAATGATGATAATTTTTTACTGAAAATTTATGTCATGAGCAACTTCCGCACCTATAGACTGAAGCAGAACTGAACATTTTGTCATTAACGTTTATCTCAACAGCCAGTTATCAAGACGAACGTCAAGAGAACAGTTGAAATAAAAATAGAAATCAGTTCAAGACTCGCCGCCGCCGAATTCAAAATGGCGATCCCATACACGTGGACCGTTCGCGGACCTTTCTGAGCAAGATTGTTGTGCTGTCTGGTCAAAGTTAAGTATTTTACTTTGATGTTTGTGTGCCTTCTGCTAATTGTCGGCCAGAAATAACAAAAAAACATATACAATATGAAATATTCTGCGTACAAGGTTATCTAAAGTTTCGAGCTTAATTTTGCCTGCAATGATGATAATTTTTTACTGAAAATTTATGTCATGAGCAATTTCCGCACCCATAGACTGAAGCAGAACTGAAGATTTTGTCATTAACGTTTATCTCAACAGCTAGTTATCAAGACGAACGTCAAGAGAACAGTTGAAATAGAAATCAGTTCAAGACTCGCCCGGCCGAATTCAAAATGGCGATGCCGAAGAAAACTATACACGTGGACCGTTCGCGGACCTTTCTGAGCAAGATTGTTGTGCTGTCTGGTCAAAGTTAAGTATTTTACTTTACTGTTTGTGTGCCTTCTGCTAAAACTAGACAATAATTAAGGTAGTTGAAAATGCAATTTTATATTAATAATGTCTTATTATATTAAAGATTTTCCTTGGTCAACATTGGAAGTGAACAAGATTTCTGCACAGAGGTAATTCGATTGTTTCTTCTAAATTTATATTAGCCTTGCAGCTGAAATTCTTGTCACTACCTTGTAATACATATCAACTGCCTGGGTATATATTTTGTTATTTCAATAGTATAAGAGGGAATTTGCTGCAACTAGGATCTTTTTCATGAAAATCGTCAGTGGTCACAATTTGGTTAAGATTACTAAGTGAACTTTGCTTCTATACTCACTATGTGTCACAGTAATAAATTCCTGTGGTGGTCTTGAATAAATATAGCAACCATAGTTATATATAGAAGGATGAAGTAACCATAGATTACCTGACCAAAAACTAGACAGTAATTAAGATAGTTGAAAATGGAATTTTATATTAATAATGTCTTTTTATATTCAAGATTTTTCTTGGTCAAGAGTGCAACATGAACTGTGGATATGAACTTTACTTCAATGAACATTGGAAGTGAACAAGATTTCTGCACAGAGGTAATTCGATTGTTCCTTCAAAATTTATATTAGCCTTGCAGCTGAAATTCTTGTAGTGACTTTGTAATACATATCAACTGCCCGGA